TGAGCTTATGTTCACTCCAACCGAACATGACCAACATGAGTGCGTGCATTCGGTATAGACCTAAAATGAATGATATTGTATTCATACGTGCTTATTTAGAACGGATAAACTTTCATTTATTTTAAAATGTATGAATGAATGGCGAACGAGTGAGCGTAAAATCAATAGCGGCCAGCGGCTTTTACTATTTGAACTTGATAATGAATGCTATTGCGTGTACATTTATAATTTATGAATTTATGCGTGAATTTGTGTTTGCTTTACTTTCAGATTTTTGTTGTTGTTGGTGACTGTGTTTGACCTATTCGACAATACTTATGTGTAAGCGGATTGAATGAGGTGTTTCTGTACCGTAATATAATTATTTTGCAATGATAGTGGTTTTGTGCTGTCAGATGTCTGTTCATTGCCATGAATGTCACAATGACGTGAATTAATCTCTGTGTACATATGAACGGCAACATAATCCGCAAACAACGATTGTGAATGTAAAGAGGCTAGGCATCACGTGTTGATTTACACATTTAAAAAAAAAATTGAAATATGTATGTATACAGGGTAATATGAAAAAACTGCAACAAAGTCAAACGCCATAATTTTTACATTTTTTTGAAATTTCATTGAATGAAAACAAAAAATGTCGGAAATAGCAACAAATTTAAGAATAAGTATAGACAATGTCGGAAATAGCATCAAATTTCAGAATAAGTTTCGATTTGTTCGAATTGGTCATCTTTGGCTCGAGTTATGGCCTTCAAACAGCTAATGAAACCGTCATGCTGCCCGAATGTTGCTCTGCAGTATTTGGGTCCATTCCCGGTAAAGCGCTTGCTTGAGGTGATCGACACTTTGGTATTTTTTGGTGCCAACCTTGCGTTCCAAAATACTCCAGACACAATAGTCCAACGGATTGGTATCCAGAGATTTTTGCGCTGGAAATGAAGTTAGGAAGCTCATTTTGTATTTTGGGTGGCGCGTGCTGAGTGTGACGGTGCTGGATGGAGTCCTGTTGGTCTGCGGCTTTAGTAATACACCCTCCAGAATATTTTCGCGATAATATTCGGCAGTTATTCTGACGCCACAGTCGATGTATACGAGCGGAGAGCGACCATCGGCTGTTATGGCGGCCCACACCATTACCATGGCCGGCGCTTGAGTTCTGGTGGCCAACCGAAGGTGCACATTTTCAGCTGACCTCTTTGGCAAGTAAACACGATCATTTTGTTTGTTTACAAACTGCTGGACAACGAATGTTTTCTCATCGGAGAAAACCAAATTAAGCAATTCACCACTTTCGGCCAAGTGAAGCAACTCTTTATCTCGTTTGAGTATTTTTTTCTTTCTGTTGCGGTGTAAGTTCTTGCACTTTTTGGAATTTCAATGGCTTTACCCCGAACTCATTCTCCAATATTTTCCGAATGAAATATTGCAATTTGCTCAGCTCACGAGCCATTTTTCGGCCATTGTGACGCGGGTTTCAAGTCGCTTCTTTACTCTTCGAACCATTTCTGCTTCCTTGACGTCGGGCTACGCTACCAGTATCACGGCAACGAGCGATGCTACGAGACACAAAAGATTTATTCACATTTAAATGCTGGAGTGCTCTAACGATGGCCACTTGGGTGTTCCAGCCAAATTTAAAGAAATCACACTATCACGCTTAAATTCCATAACAAAAAACTTTTTTCTGGAAAATTCTCATATAATGAGCTATCACTGGAATAATTTTAACAGCTGTCAGACGAGCGGCTTAGAAATGACAGCAGTCTGAAGTTGGATGCAGTTTTTTCATCTCAACCCCTATATACAAACTTTGTATATTATTTGACAGAAGGTAGCTTTGTTCTACCTTCTATAATTATGCCATGGTTTAGATGAAATTTTGACAAAAAAATTCCATAATATATAAAAGCATATAACTGGCACGCACATACTCGCAAATTTATGCATCTCTATTTTCTGCATGACTCATATGACACAAACAATATTAATAATATGTGTTTGATAAAATTTCCAATAATTTATGCATTAGAGGTCATGGTTTCAAATAAGATATGCATACATATACTAAATAAATGAAGACGAGTAAAAGGAAATATAAATTATTCATTGATAGAAAAAAATCTCTATAGCAACAGTGTTGAATAGAGATTTTTTCCACAACAAATTATTATATGAATATAATAAATTTTTTTGTATAAAAAAGACTTGTATACCGTTTCTTGATAATAGCAACGACTTTATACTCCATGGTGCAAAAAGGAGGTAAAACAGGGTCGTACAGCTGCTGAAATACAACAGACCGCTTACTGACAGAATTATTCAATATTACATGTAACAATAGGTGTGTCTGGTTATCCTAAAATTTGTAACAAATTTTGCACATTTTTAATGAAAGTTGTCTGTTAACACAAAAGAAAGCGATTTGAGAGAACAATTTTGACAGTTCTTTCACTGAAAGTTTTCGAGTTCTTGCTGGAAAAATTTCTTCTTGCAATCACTTGCAACTCTTCTTTTTCTCCTTCCGGGAATGTAAAGACTATCCATCTATGAACTTCTGTAATTTACCTTGTCAAATTTTAATGAATAAAAAATGAATTTATAAATAAAAATTTTGGCAATGAGTTGTTGTCGAATGAATAATTTTGAAAAAAATTGAAAACATATGATTGCATGACTTTACCTTCTTCATTCTACCCTGGTTTTGTTGCTTCGATTCATTTTTAATTTTTGTGTTCTTAATTTCTTTTATTTGTGGACAAATTGCTTTGTTTTAATAAATCAGCTGATTGCTTGCAAGTTTTTGCAGGAATTCCGTCTGTTTACTTTTCACAGTTTTCTTGCAAAAGAGAATAAAACTACGTCACTCTCTCTCTCTCTCTCAGAAAGAAGTAACTGGACAATTCCTGTCATACCTATTTTTTTCTCATTAATTTGACATTTTTCCTCATTTTTTAAATCAGTAAGAAAACCCGCAAAAGATGAATGAAAACACTGTATGTATTAAGGTGTTTTATTTAACAGTATTTAAATATATATTAAAATTTATACATACATATAATGATAATTACTTATCTGTTAAAGTATTACAGATTTTTGTAAGTTGTTATTGTAAAATCATGTGCTTATTATTTTGTAAATAAAGAAATACGTAGATAGATGTTCCATCTGATAATAAAAATAATTGCTGTGATGATGTAGCTGATAAGGTGAATACGTTTCAGATTACACTGACAATTAATTTATCATATAAATATGACAAAGCCGAAAAATGGCTCATGAGCTGAAAATATCGCAATATTCCATTCGGCTAATATTGAAAAATGAGCTCGGGTTAAAAGCCATTGAAATTCCAAAAAGTACAAGAACTTACACCGCAACAGAAAGAAAATAGACTCAAAAGAGCTAAAGAGTTGCTTCGCTTGGCCGAAAGTGGTGAATTGCCGAATTTGGTTTTCTCCGATGAGAAAACAAACCAAATGTTCGTGTTTACTTGCCAAAGTGGTCAGCTGAAAATGTGCACCTTCGGTTGCCCATCAGAACTCAAGCGCCGGCCATGGTGATGATGTGGGCCGCCGATGGTCGCTCTCCGCTCGTATTTGTCGACCGTGGCATCAGAATTAATACCGAATATTATCGCGAAAATATTCTGTAGGGTGTATTAAAGCCTTGGGCACGCAAACATTTAGGCCACATACCTTGGCCATTCCAACAGGACTCAGCCCGCGCCACCCAAGAATGGTTACAATATGAGATCATTTCGCAGCGCACAATGGCCACCAAAATCTCCGGATATTGTGTCTTATATTATTTATATTGTCTCTGCATTGTTTTGGAAAGCAAGGTTGGCACTAAAAAATACCAAAGTTTCGATCACCTCAAGCAAGCGTTTGAATGAACCAAAATACCGCAGAGCAACATTCGGACAGGGTGTGACGGTTTCATTGGCCGTTTGAAGGCCATTTTTGATACTATTTCCGACATTTTTTGCTTTCATTCAATAAAATTTAAAATAAAGCAAGTAAAAACATTAACTTCGGCCGAGCCGAACTTATAATACTCTCCACGTTAGGGTGAAGCAAGCAATGGGTTCCATTATGATCCACAAATACCGAATATCGGGAAGTACCGTTATATGGGGCCTATACCAAAGCGTGGACCTATACATACTATGTTTCGCCACACGAACTAGGACCTATTATGACCTACAAATACCAATTTTCAGACAAATCCGTGTAAAAATGTGGCAAAAATCGTCAAAATACCGAATATCAGGAGGTATCGTTATATGGGGTCTATACCAAAGCGTGGACCTAAACATACTATATTTCGCCACACGAACAAGGACCTATTATGACCTACAGATACCAATTTTCAGACAAATCTGTGTGAAAATGTGGCAAAAATTATCAAAATACCGAATATGGGGAGGTACCATTATATGGGGTCTATACCAAAGCGTGAACCTATATATACTATGTGGTTCGCCAACGGAGCTTGAACCCATTAGGACACACAAATACCAATTTTTAGACAAATCCGCGAAGAAATGTGGCAAAAATCATCAAAATACCGAATATCGGGAGGTACCGTTATATGGGGTCTATATCAAAGCGTGGACCTATACATATCTATCTTTCGTCACACGAACTAGGACCCTTTCCAAGGTGGAGGGTATAAAAATGTAAAAATGGACTTTGTTGCAGTTTTTTTTTTATTTCACCCTGTAATGAGAGCCAGTAAAGCTGAAGCCGGCTTTACACCGACGGCACCAAAATTACAAGACTTACAAAGATTCGTCATAATCAAGGGAATTAACAATTAAAATAACGCGATTTTTGAAAACATGTTCGGTGTAAATGAAGCTTGTTTGTTTTTATCAGGTTGCAGATTATCGAGGTTCAACTGTCATTCCCTTGAAGAATCAACACAATCTGAAGATATGTGTGTTCATGCAATTACTACAGCTTGTAGTTATGTGTGTATAACCCTATACTCACCATTATGATTGATATCCCCTCTCAATGTATTCATCGCGATGACAAATTAAAAAGGAAAATACAAATCCACTTCACTTAAAGAAACGTATTTAATTAACAATTTTTATTATTATATTTGCTTGCCGTTCTGCCCTCTTGTCGGAAACTTTTTTTTGTAATTTAATGAAATTTCTTTGTTATTATTGTTGTAAGTTCACTTCACTGCGGCTAATAGTTTGAGTGGAATTCAAAGGTTTTTGTTGTTCCTTGTCCGTTGCACTTGTATAAAACACGCGTTTTAATCGTACGATCGCGTCAATCTTCTTTGCGTCTGTAACGGCGAATGAGGAGCGGCTATGCCAAAACAATGTAGTACCGAGCTTCGCCACTTCAATTATGCGACTGAAATGCTTGGTTTTATTCCAAGTTGTTGCTTGGAAATGCATGTGTGTTTCGGTGTTTTGCTTAGTGGCCAAGATTACCTCGAAGAGCAGCAGACACACCAAAATGTACAATAAAAAAATTATGACATTTTAAAATCTGTTTCGAGTGAATCACACCATAGCATTTTTGTTTGTTCATCACATTCATACGGTGGCTTTGGATTAATTCAACTCAATCTCGGCAAACAGGTAGGTAGAAAAATCTATCAAAGAGTTGAACTCAAACCTTGTTGTTTTTTTAACCAAGTTTTTTTTTGTTTAATAAATGAGTAAAGAAAATGTAAACAAACGGCATTGTTTCAGAAAAGAGGTTATGAAAGAGAGAGCAATAGAGAGAGAGAGCAGCAGAGAGACTTCATTAAAATTCTATGGTAACAGTGGGTTGATTAGGATTACGACTGAAAAAATCTCTTAATGAAATATGATAAATTACTTATCTAACCTATTTTTTCTTCTTCCTAGGATTGCGTTTCCAATCCTTTTTAATAAGCTTTGAGTTTAGAAGACAACCTCATTCGTGTAGCCGAGTGTTTCATAATTGTTTATGGTAAAATTTATTGCTATTGCACATTTTTATACCCTCCACCTTGGAAAGGAGGGTATATTAACTTTGCCATTCCGTTTGTAACATCCCTAAATATTCCTCGTAGACCCCATAAAGTATATATTTTCATAATCAGCATAAAATTCTAAATCGACTTAACGAAGTTCGGCTGTCTGTCCGTCTGTCTGTTGAAATCACGATACAGCCCATATTTTTGACGTAGAGCGTCAAAATTTAGCAGAACAATTTGTATTGTGTCTAGGATGGTTGGTATTGAAAATGAGATATATCGGTTCACGTTTTGATATAGTCCCCATATAACGGTACCTCCCGATATTCGGTATTTTGATGATTTTTGCCACATTTTTTCACGGATTTGTCTGAAAATTGGTATTTGTAGGTCATAAGGGGTCCTAGTTCGTGTGGCGAAATATTGTATGTATGGGTCCACGCTTTGGTGTAGCCCCCATATAGCTGTACCTCCCGATATTCGGTATTTTGATGATTTTCGACCAAATTTTTTGGCGGATTTGTCTAAAAATTGGTATTTGTAGGTTATAATGGGTTCTAGCTCGTGTGGCGAAATATTGTATGTATGGATCCACGCTTTGGTATAGCCCCCATATAACGGTTCCTCCCGATTTTTTGGTATTTTGATGATTTTTTCGCGGATTTGTCTAGCTCCGTTGGCGAAACATTGCATATATAGGTCCTCGTTGTGTATAGCGCCCATATAACGGTACCTTCCGATATTCGGTATTTTGATGGTTTTTGCCACATTTATTCATGGATTTGTCTGAAAATTGGTATTTGTAGGTCATAAGGGGTCCTAGTTCGTGTGGCGAAACATTGTATAGCTCCCATATAACGGTACCTCCCGATATTCTGTATTTTGATGATTTTTGCCACATTTTTTGCAATTGGTTTTGGTGTGTCCTAATGAGTACTAGCTCCGTTGGCGAAACATTGTATGTATACGTTCACGTTTTTGAATAGCCCCATATAGCGGTACGTCTCGATATTCGATATTTTGACGATTTTTGCACATTCCCCCACGAGTATGTCTAAAAATTGGTATTTGTGGGTCATAATGGGTTCTAATGTTTCCTTCAAAGTTCGGAACGTCCGAACTTAATGTTTTTTTACTTGTTGTACATACCTTTGGATGTTAGGAGACAGGACAATTCAGCAAATCAAATTAAATATTCTTAATTATCAGTTTTTCCGCCGCCGCCTCGTGTGTACAATTCAGCGATCTCGTCTGCTGTTGCGTGCCTCTGTACGATAATATAGGTTATGACCCACGTACGCACAGATATCGATGCGCTCAGTTAGCAACCAAGAGCACTCGAATGAAGGGACAAAGTAAGTCATGTAGGGCTTCCCATATCAATATAAGAATTGATAAGACCTACCGAATTGTGGCGATTAGGTTTAGTAAAATTAGTTTGAGTAGGTTTTAAGTAAAACATATTTAAATATAAAAAAGCTTTATTTGATCAGTTTTTTTTTTTTTTTTTCATTTTAACAACCATTGTTTTTGTTCAGCCGTTTGAGGTGTGTACGATAACTTTCACGTCGCAATCTAAACTGTAAAGATGCAAGTACATGTCAATTTAAATCCACTGGGTATTCTAAATTTGCTTGTGTTCGAGAACTGCTAACCAATTTTCCCTTTACGATATCGAAAATTCTGGAAAAAAAATTAAAAACTACCAAAAATGAATAAACATTTTCACCTAGGTCACAATGCAGGTTATTTTCAATCTGCTAAGGTACTAAATTATTCCCTCTGACAAAAATCTCCAGTAAGGGTTTGCAGACTCCCATTGGCATTATTGGACTTTAGATATATCCATGGCACAATTACAGAAGGTATAACAAAGCCAGCCCCCAAATACAATTTTTTTCTGCCCTTATTCTCTCAAAACATATACATATTTTGTGTATGTGTATATTAATGCATATTTTCCGCGTTGATGGGCAACACATTGTAAAATTATAGGATATAACTGTATTGCCCCACTATTTTAGATTCAATCCTGTGGAATAACCCCAAAATTCCATTCTTGTTTCGTTTTTTTGGGTTTTCCCCAATATAAGAATTTTGTTAAAAAGTGAGAAGTAATCAAAACCAATTGTTGTATATTTGAAAGTCTATTTGACACAATAAGACTCCAGCACAGAGTTGCATTTTTCTAGTTTCTTTGAAGTTGAGCAACCTTTTTTATTGAACCATGGATATATCGAACATTTTGTAAAAAAAAAGTTGTGTTATTGTACATACCTTATACCTCGAGATGTTCAAGCGTAATCAAAAAAGATAAACAAAAGACAGATGTTTATTTCAATATTTGATGGCAAGCCAGAAATGTTAAATTTTCCCTAATGGATACTAATGTAACTTTTGTACTAAATTATTAATCTTTTTACATTCTAGTTATAGTTAGCATAACGCAATGTTATTCTCAACCAGTACGAAATGTATCAGCATAAAATTCTATTTAGTGATGTCCGTCCGTCTATCCGTCTGTGGAAATTACTCCGAACGAAATAAAGTAGATTGATAAAATTTTACTCAAATATAAATAATGTCTGCAGGACTTTTGGTATTGAAAATAGGTCATGTAGGTCCACGTGTTGGTATCGCTCCCATATAACGTTACCTCCCGATATTCGGTATTTTGATGAATTTAGCGACATTATTCACCAGAATTGTGTCAAATTTGGTATTTTAAGTTCGTAATGAATGACTACAGCCTATGACAGAAAATTGTCTGTGCATGTCCACGTCTTCGTATAGCCCCCATATAACGGTGTCTCCCTATATTCGGTATTTTAATGATTTTAGCGATATTATTCACTGGAATTGTTTCAAATTTGGTATTTGAAGTTCGTAATGAATACTGCAACCTAAGGCAGAAAATTGTCTGTGCAGGTCCACATTTTGGTGTAGCTCCCATATAATAGAACCTCGCTATATTGATGATTTTATTCACCGAATTTTTTTCAAGTTTCGCATTTGAATATTGTAATGACTTATGACAGAAATTGCCTATGCAGGTCCACGTCGTCGTTCAGACCCTAATATGACAGCTACATTAGGTATTTTTAAGATTTTAACGGTTTTTGTTTTGTTTGAAAATTGCCAAATTCGTTCCACATGGTGAGTGTATTCAAAGTTTGGCCCGGCCGAACATATAGCTTTTTACTTCTTATGATATTGTGTATAATTATTTGCTGTTTTAGTTATTCAATAAAATATTATTAATTTAAATCTTATTTTATCGCGGACTTTTTATTTCAAAAAAAAAAAAAAAAATGACAGGCAGAAATGGGTTCCCCGCTATAAATTGTGTATATACATATAATTGTGTATATATTTAATACGGGTTCCAATCATTGATTTTGAAAATAAAATGTTTTTATTTTTCAAATAAATAAAAAATGTAATCAGCTGGTAGCCCTATCACTTTACCTTCTTAATTATACCATGAACTTTATTAAGAGAAAAACACATAGGTTTTTTAAATTTTATTTTCATAATTGTACGTTTTGGACAGAATTAACAGGAAAACTTATTTTCCAAATCGACGTTTGACTTTGTTGCAGTTTTTTTTATCTCACCCTGTATATTGATTTTTACCTTAATCCTTTTTCGAATTACCGAGCATCATCAAAATCATTTAATTTTTAATCTGATCACTAGGCAGGGTTAGTCGGAACATTTATTCTTACTAAGTGAGTAATCCACAGAGAGAAGACTTTTCACTTTTGCTGCGGCTTCTGGTAATAAACCAATGTAGATTTCCCCAGGAATTTCGTATCTGATACAGCTGTCAAATCCGTGTCTGGGTTTCGTGATAATTGTACAATATAGAACACACAATACTACAGTGTAAATACTGGTAGTACGCAGGGAGTTATGTATGCAGCTCAATATCCCTTGAGATACACATTTTGGAAACAGGTCTAAAATGATTTTTTAGATGGTATTAAGATACAGACAACAAAATGAAACCAATAAATTCAAAATGTTTCGAATGACATTTTTAAGGGAAAGTGTAAGACTGTTGCGCTGAGGGAATATTTATTAATTGTTTTCGCCACGATATTTAATTTAACAATTTTTGCCATTAATTTAATTTTGCATTACGACATTGTATTCTACCTTTCCTCAATACGATCTTTCCTTATTTATGGAGATAAAACTTAAACTTTGTAATCATTTTTTATACTTATTACTTTATTATTTGGTATAAACAATATACATGTATATATTAGGTATTTTAATTTACTATTTTTTTATTATATTAATTTATTGGTTGTCTTTAAAATAAAGTATTTATTATTTAATGCAGGTATTATAAAAACTACGTTTGTTATTATATAAAAAAACGATACAAGTGCAGCGTTAAACTCGGTTTTCTTGTTATTGTAATTGGTTGATTTGTTTTGAAAAAATGTACTATCACTTACTTATTTATAAACTGACAATTATATTGTGTGTGTGTACTTCTTTTTAACGACTTAACAACTAATGCAATTGAGGTTTGTCCTTAATTATTATAACATATTGAAATGCGTAATGCTCATGTGTTCCGTGTAGTATTTTGTTGTTCCAGAATTGAGGAGGATTACTTTTTTTTGTAAATCCTCTTTAGTCTCGAACATTTGTAAAGTTCCTCTGTACATCAAGTTTGCAAATGATCCCCATGGACCACTTAAGCATTCAACAAACTATATGCCAGATATTAATCTGTTTTGTTATCTGCTTTTGTTTCTTATGAACATATCATTTTATTTTTTTTTCTTCTTTTCTAGTTTTTTGTTTAGTTTAACGTGTCCTCTTTTCTGTATGTATGTATAAATGTATGTGTATTTAGGTAGTGATGGCATTAGTAATAGAATTGTCTCAAATTTTATCATAAAGAGATCAGTTGAAACAATGCTATCAGTCAGTAGAATAGTACCGAATGTAGTACAGTTTTATTGCGCCTCGATTCGAATTCCTGCAGTAGTTCATCGATATCATTATCTAAGTCACTGGATTTAGACATCTGCAAAGAAAAACAAAATAAACTTAGTCATTAATTTATTTCAGAGAATGCTCGTATTTGCAATACGCTATGGTTCAGAAGCGAAAGTTTTATGAAACAAAGTTGTAGTTGGAGTTGTAACATAACATTTCTATGAACGTTTAATGTACAGATACATTGGAATGTACCATGGTAGAAGAATATAGGTAGACGCATCGACACAGCAGCTGGGACAATGAACTGTCAAACCAATTTTGGAATTGAAAATGTTGAATAAAAAATTATTACAATTTGTAAAAATTGTTGAAAAATGCTTATTATAATAACCTTCGAATGACGTCGTATAAGAAAACATATAAAATCTACTTATTTTTGACAAAACATTTAAAAATTTTTGACATATCAATTTTAACAAGCGTTGAAGCATCTACCTGTATTCTTCTACCATGGAATGTACAGATACATAATTAATAAAGTATAAAGGTGTAACTTCTGATGATTCAATATTGCTAACCAATCCTTCAATATTCAAATACATTGAAATTTCTTAAAAAAATCGAGTTTTAAATTGTAAATTTTTTGTCCGACATAAGTTCTATGAACACTTTTTCAATTGATAGATTTCCAAATGAATTTTATTAACCGGATTAATAACATTGGATAACAACACTTGGTCTACAAGAATTTTAAAGTTTTTACTACGATAACCGATTTTCCCTTTATGATATCGAAGAAAATTGCAAAAATAGTAGATTCTTGCAGGTACTGGAACATAGCAACTGTCAATAACTTACTTTCTATAAAAAGACATTGTGGACAACAGCATGTTCTTGAGAAAAATGTGTGGATTGCATTATTTCCCATCGAAGGTATTATTTTCTACGGAAACACTATGGATTCTATTAGAAAATTGTCTATTAAAATACTGTGAATAGTAATGTTTGCTGTAGAAAACATTGTGAATAACACTGTTTTCTATAGAGACCATCGTAGATAACAGCACCGAAATGGATAACAAGATATTCTGTAAAAAACAATGTGGATGTTGTTCTGTTCTATTATACATATTTTCTTTTAAAATATTTTAAATACCAATATTTTATATACAAAACATTGTATATAACAACACTGAATTAAGGATGTTCTGTAGAAAAATAGTGCACAAAAATGTTCTATAGAATATTGGGTTTAAAGCTTTGAGGGAAAAAATCGTTGTATCAACATTTTCTATAGAAAAAATGTTAAATAACAATATTCTCTATAGAAAACGTCGTTGCTAGCGATATTTTAAGAAGAGAACATAGTAAATGTCGATATAAAATTGTGGATAAATATATTTTCTATACAAAGAAAATATGGGAATAACGTATTTTCTATAAAAAAAAAAACTTTGTGAATAACAACAATAATATGATCTGTTCCGGAACTGAAATAATGTACAACTTTTTACTACGATAACCGATTTTCCTATTATGATGTCGAAAATTATTGCAAAACTTCCAGGTACTGGAACAGGGCAACAGTTGAAAATGCTGACGGCATCTTTGATCAACGATATTTTCTATAGTACCAAATTTATTTAAAAGGCTGCGGGTATATATATTTATAGGAAACTGTATTTGGAATTGAGGTTGGATTTTTTATTGCTCAACCATTTCATAATCAAGGCTGTGGAATTAATAATTTTACCGAAAACATTTGAGAATAACCACATTTTATTGAAATATCCTGGAAATTTCTATGGATTGGAGTAGTCTTTTTCAGGTACAAATTATATTTATGGGAAACTGCATTTCCGAAATTGAGGTTGGATTAGTTTAAAACCAATTTTTCATTGCTCAACCATTCCATAATCATAATTTTACCGAAAATATTTGAGAATAACCACATTTTATTGAAATATTCTGGAACTTTCTATGGATTGGAGTAGTCTTTTTAGGTACATATTCTATTTATAGGAAACTGCATTCGGAATTGAGGTTGGATCAGTTTTAAACCAATTTTTCATTGCTCAATTTTAAATATCTCCCTTGCATAATCAAGGCTGTGGGATTAATAATTTTAACGAAAACATTTGAGAATAACCACATTTTATTCAACTATTCTGGAACTTTCTATTTCTTTTTCAGGTATAAATCATATTTATATGAAACTGAAGTTGGATTAGTTTAAAACAAATTTTTCATTGATTAATTTTAAAAATCTCCATTGCATAATCAAGGCTGTGGGATTAATCATTTTACCGAAAATTTTTCAGAATAACCACATTTTATTCAACTGTCCTGGAACATGATTGGAGTAGCCTTTTTCAGGTACAAATGTTGAATGCCTTAAGAATAGTAATCCATCTTCAACTTTTACTTTCCTCGCCCAGGCGTATTTTGTTGGGTTTCGCACTGATTTGGAGTATAAAAGGCATACATTAACCCCAAACCAGATTTATACTTCAACCACAAAAAATTAAACAGCAATTAAGGTATTAATTTTGGAAGTTTGGCTGAAAAATTAAACAGCAATTTAGGTATTAATTTTGGAAGTTTGGCTGAGGTGGAAGAAATCCAAGATTCTACATATTAATTTTGTAGGATAACTCCAAAAAACACCTATGTATACCAACAAATCTAATATCTGAAATATCACCTCCAATCCGAAAATAAAATAACGAAATTACTTATCCAAGGGCAATTGTGTCTCACTGTCAAAGTGTGTGTTTTCCAAGCCACAGAATCCATAACAACCTATACATCGCTGTACCTATACACAAACATAAAACAAATATATTAATTAATGTTGTTTTCTCATACACTATATTTCTCCATAATTTATCTTCCTTATGACAAATATGAATATCATCATTATGTTCCCATACAACAATGCCCCTGCAAAACAGCTCCTGCTTCTCTGAATGCAAGTTCATGGCAAACAATGTATCAAGGTTTAACATTTTTTCAGCGAATGATTTTGTATTGCAACAAGAACAACAACAACACTTGTTGATCATTACCATAGTTATCATGTCCGTTATTAGAAAAGCACCCATAAGTGCCTCCTCGTGATTATCTTCTATGTCCACATTGAATATATGTACAGGACGATTGTCGGTCACGTCGCGTGACTCCATGTGTTCCAACACCTGATCGTAAACACGTTCCTCTACCGTCACAATAATATCAAACTGTTCCTTGGTCTCTTGAAACTTTTCTGGACATTTCTTAATGCGTCGATTGCGATCTAACATGTGCAGCAAGCCATTCTGTGTGTAGCTGAGGAGAAAGAACACGGAACAAAAGCAATCAATCAATGCATCCATTTAATATATAGTTTACTTCTTTTGCCACTTACTATTGCTTATCTTTATTACACAGATCATTGTAGATGTAATCATAGCTCGTTCCGAATTCATAAACATTTGGTTTGTCAAAAGACATGCCTGGTAATTTGACATTGTTTCCAGTGCCAAACGAACGAACATAGAAACCCTTTTTGGCCAGGAAATTATGTGCCTCCATGGAACGATTCATGTTCGAGGAACAAACAACAGCAATGGACAAATTGCTATTTATAGACATTGTCAGTTATTTTATTAAATTTACGTTGAGAAAATTTCTTAACTTCTAGAAGACGATGATAATTGTATGAACGATGTTAGGTATGGTAAACAATCGATTGTACTACAAAAGCGATTAATAGTTGAAAGGGCCGATTACTGCTCTGTTCCAGTACCTGCAAAAGACTACCTTTTCTTTTTTTTTTGCAATTTCCTTTGATATTTGCTATGTTCCAGAACCTGCAAGAATGTACTATTTTTGCAATTTTTTTCGATATCATAAAGGGAAAATCGGTTATCGTTGTAAAAAATTTTACATTATTGCAGTTCTGGAACAGCCCAATTATAAAGGGAAAGTTGGTTATCGTAGTAAAAGGTGCGAATACATAAGGCGCTTTTTCGGCTGGCTTAAAATTAAAAATCGAACTAAGTCAAACTAAAACTCCTTTGTTTCTCTACGAACAAGCCTGCCGATGACTTAAGCCAGCCAAATATGCACTTCGTGTATTCTCACATTCTTGCATTACTAAAACGTACCATACATTTAAAAAAATCAAATCAAAATATTTGCTCTGTTCCAGAAAATGCAAAAATCTACTAGTTTTGCATTTTTTCATATCATAAATGCTCTTTTCCAGAACCTGCAAAAATCTACTTTTGCAATCTTTTCCGATTTCATAAAGGGAAAATCGTTTATCATAAAAATTGCGTACACGAACTAACCCGTTCACATGGCACCAAAAGTCATTCGTTGTTCGACTATTAATTATTAAATATTTGCTTGATTCGCCACACAAAATTTGCTGAATGAACAACAATTTTTGTTCTATTCAAATCACCCCCAGAACCATGGTACAATAAGGAGGTAGAACAGCTTCATAAAACTACAGAAATACAGTCCTGAGGCTATGTCCGCTTTCTGTCAAACTTACAGGTAGCTCTACCTTAACTTGTTAATGTACCACGCTCAGAACTACGTAAATTGTGTACCGTCCCTAACAAATGAGAGTATTTGTCGAAAAAATAATTATGAAATTTTAAAATAGAACAAGTAAAAAAGAAGCTAAGTTCGGTCGGGCCGTACTTTTAATCCATGTCGAAGGAAATTGAAAAATTAAAAAAATCCGTAAACTACCACTTAAATAAAAACCGTTATATGGTAACTATACGAAGGCGTGCATACGAAATTTTTTGTCATAGGCTGTAGTGCCATAAATAATGTCGCAAATATCGTGAAAATACGGATTATCGGGAGGTACCGTCATATGGAGGCTATACGAAGACCTTGATCTGCATACGCATTTTTTGCCATAAGTTGTAATACCCATTAAGATCTTTCAATACGAAATTTGAAACGATTACGGTGAATAATGTTGCTGAAATCGTCAAAATACCGAATATCGGGAGTTACCGTTACGTGGGGGCTAGACTTGAAGGGTTAGAAGACTTGGACCTGCATACAACAAATTTTGTCATAGGCTGTAGTACCCATTACGAACTTCAAATACGAAATTTTAAACAATTTCGGTAAATAATGTCGCTAAAATCATGAAAATACCCAATATCGGAAAGTACCGTTACAGTACGTTTATATATATGAGGGTTAACCCACTGGATTTGGATTTAAATTGTCATATCCATTACTTTTACTTCAAATAAATCCTCTCAAAGTAGGTTAACCCTACAAAAAGTTCTAACGTAAACATGGCATTATGTGGGGGCTATACGAAAACGTGGAACCTGCCTACTTGTAAACTATGCATGTATGCAAAATTTCAGCCTTCTATCTAACTTCTAAAGATAGCGTGATTACAACAGGCAGACAGACGGTTGAACATAGCTGGATCGTCTTAGAATTTTCCACCTATCCAGAGTATATATACATTGTAGGGTCTATTATGAATATTTCGAGGAGTTACAAACGGAATGACCAAGTTAATATACCCTCCATAGAGAGTTGGAGGTTGCGATTTCGACAGAAAACTGAAAACAAGTGAGGAAAAATTTTCAACATTTTTGTATCGACAAAAAATTTTATAAAAATCAACAAACAAGTGACAACAAGGCACAAAGTGATTGAAAGTGCAATGAGAACATAGCATAAGTCGAACAATCGACTATGAATAGTCGAGTACTCGGTTTTCTCCCAAGTCAGTCCTTTGAGTACTAAAAGTCGATTATTCGATTAATCGAAAGTCGATTTACCTATCCCTATGACAAATCATTTTCATTCGAAGCACTGAAGCACGAACCACTGAAATTCTGAAATGAAATCGTCATTTTAAAAGTTATAAACAATTCAAAAAAACCAATCATATGTAAACACAAATAAACTGATACTGAATTTACAAAGAAATAACTTTTTCAGTGCACTAAACTGAAAATAAGAAGAAAAAAGTTTAGCAACATGGAGGATGAAATGCTATTAAAACAACCTACTGACCGACGTTTGGGTGATAACAGTACCTTACCTCCCGGTCCACCGGGTGCCGAGTTTGATACACCGGTATTTGGTAAGTTGAATGCAAGACACCACATTCCTCGATGTTTGTTGTTATTGTATTTGTAATTCATATGTATGCGTATATAGAAAATGGCAAAAAGCCTAATTTTTAATTCGCTGTTTGACATTTATACATTTTAGAATCGAAGAATGCCCCTCCAAAGATGCCTGCTTTAGAAAAAGAGAACAGTTCCGCAGAGCGTGGTGAACGTTCAGAACGGTCAAGCCGACGTCGCTCGCCCTCTGGAAGTCCGCCGCCACGTAAACGTCGTTCCACTTCACGAGGCCGACGCTCCCCTTCTTCGCCACCAAGTCGTAGGGGTCGTCGATCCCCGTCACCCAGACGTAATCGTTTCCGTGACTACTCACCAGACAGACGCCGTTATGGCAGACGATCGCCCGACCGTAGGTCACGTTATAACCGTGGAGGCAAGGGACGAGATCGTTATAGAGGTGGACGAGGTCGCAGCTCAAGTCGTTCATTGAGCCGCAGTCCAACTCCACCGTCTCGGCGTGGCGGAGGAAGTCGTTGGTCACCCAAAAAGAAACCAAGTTCCCCAGCCCATCCTCCACCCATAACAGCATCGGCTCCTCCACCGCCATATGGTGTTATGCCACCACAAATGTATGGAGATGCTTATGGTGCACCTGGCTATAATCAATATGGCGTTCCACCACCACAGGCAGGTTTTCCAGCTGACGCATATTCTGGAATGCCGGCTCAATCGGCAGGATTTAATGCTGCCTATCCACCGCCTGGATCATGGGGAGTTGGTAAGTTAATATCCATTCGATTGTGTCTTAAAAATTATTTGAAAATCTAAGTAAAATTGAAATCATTCAATTAAATGGAAATATTTAGTAAAATTGGTAATCACTCTAGAAAATTTTACCATTGGCATGATATCATTTTCGTAGACCTTTTTTATACCCTCCATCATAGTATGGAGGGTATATTAAGATTGTGATTCCGTTTATAACACCTCGAAATATACCTTTAGACCCCACAAAGTAAAAATATTCTTGATCAGCATAAAATTCTATGTCGATTTAGCGTTGTCCGTCTGTGGAAATCATATAACGGTACCTCCCGATATTCGATGTGTTGATGATTTTAGCGACATTATTCACCGGAATTGTTTCAAATTTGGTATTTGATGTTCGTAATGGATACTACAGCCTAAGACAGATATTTGTTTGTACATGTCAACGTCTTCGTATAGCCCCCATATAACGGTACCTCCCGATATTCGGTTTTTTGATGATTTTAGCGACATTATTCACCGGAATTGTTTCAAATTTGGTATTCGAAGTTCGTAATGAATATTACAGCCTAAGACATAAAATTGTCTGTGCAGGTCCATGTCTTCATATAGCTACCATATAAGGGTACCTCCCGATTTTCGGTATTTTGACGATTTTAGCTACATTATTTACCGACCCGTCCGAACTTTCAGCTTTTTTTCTTCTTAAATAAATATATTTACTTACAGATGCTTATGGCCAACAACAATGGATGGCTCCACCACCAGCACAAATTCGGCAAATGCCGCCACCTCAACAACCGCCACCACAGCAACCACCACCAACGGTCCAACAGCCACCACCCCAACAACCGCAAGCATCAGCCCCATCCCCCGCCGTTGCAGCACCACAAACTGCAGCAACTGCTAACTCTCCGGTTGTTACAAACACCAATGTACCACCACCACCAACTTTGACAAATCCCTTACATGTATTATCGGATGCTGCCCCTGGTACTGTTGAACCTAATCCTCAACATGATGGTAGGTCAATTAAAAAAAATATAAATATTATTTCACATTTCACGATCAATTCTAATGCAAAATATTTACAATTTGATTCAAAACCAAAACCCAAAAAAATTACAATACGTGTGTGTATGTGTGTAAACATAAAACTACTGGCGATAGCAATAGCTTTAATAAAAGCTTTTTAAGGTGTAATGACTGAAGTATTGCATCCAGTTCCCCTAAAAAGTATGAGGTGAAGAGGAGTCATGAGAACACAGTCCAAATGTAGTAGTCTGATGTCTTGCTTCTAGTCTATGAGCTTCGTAAATGAAATGAAATTGCATGATTCCTAAGAAGAATACGTTTACTTACTTTTGTTTCATTTTTATTTCTTTTTCTGTTTCCCCATACGATGTTGATGATGTGGTGGTCTATTCTTCATACTAAAGCTGTTGCCCAAGAAGCCGAAAATCAACGCGATGAACTTAAAAAGCAGCGTACCAGTTATCTCAAGAAGACAGCAATCTTGAAAAAGGAATTGAAAATGTTAAAAGAACAACGAAAGGAACTGCACTCGGGCAAAGCTCCAGCCTCACCAACAACCAAGGGATTCATCGATGAAAATGAAAAATTACAGGTATGTTTTGTTCGAACTACAAATTCAATGGTTTCCAGAATTATCTCCATTATGCTTATTTTCGTTTAATGTAAACAAAAAAACACTAATTTGAAAACTTATGTTTATCTTGAATTTTTGCACTTAATCCTGGTATTGCATAGTGTTTGAATAACGACCATTTTTCTTTAGCCCATTGATCCCAGTGTTGTTGTTAAAAATACATTCAAACTCCTCGAAATTTCAAAGAACATAAATATATGGCATATGTTCCTTATTGAACATATGTATAAATTTAAATGCGACATTGGAATTTCCTAAACAGCTGGTTAAGCGGAAAAATCGACCATGAGCATGCACAAAATTCCCACAAGTGTGCGTGGATATATGAAGGATTTCTTTGGAGTAGGAGCTACAACAACATGTACTACACTTGAATTTTATCCTAATACTATATATATATATAAGTCGAAATTTATTGTAATTTAGGTTGTATTTGCAATATTGTATGTAAATTAGATTTAAGTCCAGGACAACAAATGAATTGGAACATGGGAGCAACAAAAACAACATTGGATATTTGGAGGAGGATTGGGGAGGCAATCTATATACAAAATGGAGGAGACGTGGATATTTTATGGTCTGGCTGACTGGATGGAAACTATTTGCAAACTTCCCAAAAAACAAACCGAACCTAAGAACATAAATACATTTTGCAATACACCTTCTGCGGAATGATAATTAACCTATTCTTTTTTGCTTACATTTTCTTACTTTTTTAGAGCCAAATTCAAAAGAAACTCAGCACTATCGAGAATGTTATTGACATGTTGACGGGTATTATTGGTGATGACAATATTGATAAGGATGATGATGTTGGAGAAGCCGATGCCGATCAATTACTTAAGGATGCTGCAGCTTCGGCTAAATCTTCAGCAATGCTTGGGGGCTCATCAACCACCAGCAAGTATGCAGCTGAAAAAGAAAGAGTTGCGGCAGAAAAGCCCAAAAAACAGAGTTCTTCATCGTCATCAGATGACAGCACATCGGATTCATCTTCTTCATCCTCGGACTCCTCGTCGTCATCGGAAAATGAGGAGCCAAATAAAGCAGATGATGATGATGACAGTTCACCAGAGCGTTTGAAAAAGAAAGTTATCGAGTCTATGAAGAATAAGGACAAGGACCTTGTACGCAAAGTTGAGACAAAAGTGTAAGTAAAATGTCCAAACACTTCTTTTTATACCCTCCACCTTGGAAAGGAGGTTAAAAAAGTGTGTAAAAGTAGAATAGAGTCCAATCTCCCTCTTCGATTGTCAACTCTATCCCTTTTTCTGTGAGAAAAGAAACACGACCGCTTCGTTAGGGTGCTATTTCAATTCTGATTTTATTTAAGGAATATGTTTCTTACGTACTACTGAAACTAATCTAACTTAACCTAGTCGCAGCCACACAATTGTTCTTATCTATTATAATACTGAATGGAGAACATTGCAGGGCTGCTTGACTTCTCATTCAAGTGGTCTTGTGCATCTACATCGATATCTGTGCGTGTGGGTCATAACCTTTATTATCTCACACATTCTCGTATGCGTCAGCGCACAAGATTGCCGAATTCTTCACATGTGATATTTTATAGAGGCTGGGAAATATTTAATTTTAGAACATTTATCTTTTAATGCTACATTTTCCCAGCGCCTCGATCGCACTCAAAAGTATGTACAAAGTATTTTGTACACATAGTCAGCATAAAATTCTAAGTCGATATAACGATGTCCGTCTGACTATGTTGAAATCACGATACAGCCCACATTATTTGACGTAGAACATCAAAATTTAGCAGAACAATTTATATTGTGTCTAGGATGGTTAGTATTGAAAATGAGATATATCGGTCCACGTTTTGGTTATAGTCCCCATATAACGGTACGTCCCGATATTCGGTATTTTGATGATTTTTGCCATATTTTGTTCACGGATTTGTCTGAAAATTGGTATTTGTAGGTCATAAGGGGTCCTAGTTAGTGTGGCGAAATATTATATGTATGGGTTCACGCTTTGGTATGGCCCCCATATAATGGTCCACCCGATATTTGATATTTTGATGATTTTTTTCCACATTTCTTCGCGGATTTGTCTAAAATTTGGTATTTCTAAGTCATAATGGTTTTTGGCTGCTGTGGCGAAACATTGTATGTATAGATCCACGTTTTGGTATAGCTACCATATAACGGTACCTCCCGATATTCGGTATTTCGATGATTTTAGCGACATTACTTACCGGAATTGTTTCAAATTTGGTATGTGAAGTTCGTAATGGATACTACAGCCTAAGACAGAAAATGAGCCATGAAGGTCCACGTCTGCGTATAGCCCCCATATAACCGTACCCCCTGATAATCGGTATTTTGATGATTTTAGCGACATTATTTACCGGAACTATTTCAAATTTGGTATTAAAAGTTCGTAATAAATACTACAGCCTATGACAGAAAATTGTCTGTGCAGGTCCTCGTCTTCGTATAGCCCCCATATAACGGTACCGCCCGATATTCAGTATTTTGATGATTTTGGAGACATTATTTACCGGAACTATTTCAAATTTCGTATTTATAGTTCGTAATGAATACTGCAGCCTATGACAGAAAATTGTCTGTGCAGGTCCACGTCTTCGTATAGCCCCCATATAACGGTACCCCCGATATTCGGTATGTTGATGATTTTGGAGACATTATTTACCGGAACTATTTCAAATTTGGTATTTATAGTTCGTAATGAATACTACAGCCTATGACAGAAAATTGTTTGTGCAGGTCCACGTCTTCGTATAGCCCCCATATAACGATACACCCGATATTCGGTATTTTGATGATTTTAGCTACATTATAAACAGATTTTTTTCAAGTTTCACATTTGAATTTTGTAATGGTTTATGACAAAATTTGTCTATGCAGTTCCACGTCGTCGTATAGACCCTAATATACGGCCACATTCGGTATTTTTAAGATTTTAACAGAATTTTTAACGGATTTTATTGTTTTGAAAATTGCCAAATTTATACCAAATGGTGGAGAGTATTCAAAGTTCGGCCCGGTCGAACTTACAGCTTTTTTTTTTTTCTTGTGTTTTAATTTTTTTTGTACACATTTTATTGACTACTGCCTTTTTCAGTCCAACCAAAAAGGAACGTTTCAATTACGTGTTTTATGACCCCGAAATGCATTGGTGTCAAACATGCAATATTTTCCCCAAAACCGCCAAAGATTACCTCAATCATTTGCATTCCAAAGAGCATATGGATCGTGAAAGTATTGAGACACCTTGGCACACTGATATGGTGACGGATGTAAGTATTTTTTTAGAGAAAACATAGCGAATAACTAAATTATATTATAAATAATTTTGTAGCAATTTCCAACCTATGACAACGTTCCAACGAAACGTACTCCCATCAGAGGTTTGACGTTCTTTGTGCCAGCCACCGCCTGGTTTTGTAAATTATGCTCCATTTGGATGGGGGATTTGCATTGTGCTTCAACTCACTTAAAATCTCAACTACATGCAAGTAAATATAATGTAAGTACTATTTGTCATAGGAGGTGTGGACATTTTTCAAAAATTTCTCCTTTTGTATTTCTAGTCATTCTTAGAAGAGAATCCCCATTATGAGGTTAACTGGTTGGCTGATCGTCAAAAGGTTTTAAATGACCAAAAAGTAAATCCCTTGCCTCAGCAAATCACATCTGTATCCACAACGGCTGCTGAGCGTAAGAAGTCTAAGAAGGATGATGATAAATCAAGCAGCAAGAAACGGAAGAAGAAGAGGTGAGTTATATTCGGAAAGTCAACATATTTAGAGATATCCATTTAAATGTATTCTTTACTACTTAGTGACAAAAAACAAAAGAAAAAGAAGAAGAAGTCGACAAAGAAACGTAAGAAGAACGATTCGGATTCTAGCGATTCATCGTCCAGTGACTCTTCATCTTCTACGGAGAGTGATGAACCCAAAAAGAAGAAATTACCACCAACCGTGGAAATCAAGGATTTAAATAATCCAAATCCAGCCGGGGTTTCAATACGTCTGTCAATGCGTAAACAGGAAACAGCCAAACATGACGAGGGTGAAGTTCTACAGGCACCACCGCCACCTCAATTGAAAGGCTCAAAGGACGCTGCTGGATCAGCAGCATACGTGGGCGGCAAATGGACTGTTGTCCAGGAAGGTGTAAAGACCAACAGAACCGATGACCAAGAAGACGATGGTATTATACAAGAATGGAACACCGTGCAACCGGTAATTAGCGAAAGCGAAAAGAAACTATTGGAGCAGCTGAAGGGAAAATTGAAAAATAAAACCAACAGTGAACAGCAACAATCGTCGAAGGCCAGTAATGCAAGTAATAATAACAACATTAATACGGATAACAATACGGGGCGTTCGGAAGTCGAAAAGGAGAATCGTCGTGAACGCCGTAGCAGTAAAGATCGACGTGATAGTCGTGATCGGTACGACAAACGAGATCGTAACTCTCGCGATAATCGTGACAATCGTGATCGCCGCACAGCTAGACGATCAATTTCCCGAAGTCCTACAAGAAGTCGCAGTCGAGGACGGGATTACCGTCGCCATATGCGTCGTTCACGGTCAGCAAGTCGTGGACGTGGTGGTGGCTGGCGTGGCCGGAGACGCAACGATCGTTCTCGTTCTAGATCCATAAGAAGACGTTCGCGTTCTTATGATCGACGGGGTGGTAGACGCAATAGCAGATCTCGAACACGCTCACCCAGCCGTAGTCGCGTTGAAAAGCCAATTGTAAGACAACCCGAATTTAGACCACGTGTCCCCGAAAAAGACAAGGAAAAAGAAAAGAAGGCTGCCGAAAAGAAGGAAAAGAAAGAGACACAGAAACCCAAGCCAGCAGCTACTAGCACAGCGGCCAATAGCAAGACGAAACTACCGTTTATAGGAAAAATGCCGGTATTTAAGAAACAAGCCACTGGACAACAGGGTGACGGCGAGAAACGACCAGATGATGCGCAAACAGTTGCTGCCGGTGGTTACATGTATCCAATGGATGCAAGTGCCTACGGCACAATGACAAGGCCACCAGCACCCACAGCGGCACAAATACAAATGGCCATGATGGAAGATGCCTATGGCAATGCACCACCCTTCCACCCGGATGCTGGTATGATGGTGGACTATGACGACTTAATGCCTGACCCCGTACAGTTTGTTAATATCATGGGACAAGCACCTCCACCGCCACCACCACAACAGGCGAGTGATGATAAAGATATGTTACCGCCTGGTATTGATGAGGAAGAATCTGAAGAGTTTCTAACGAAAACAACAGTTGATGGTCCACCGCCAATATCACCGGGTAAGGGTGATTTGCCGCAGGACTTGGAAGATGCCTTGAACATCATATTCCCCGGCGAAAAGAAACTAAAAGATGAGGATGACGAAAAGGCAGCAATTTCAAAAGGTAATTAACAACATTCTGATGCAAAGAAGAAGTTATTTTTAGGAGAAGAAATTATTTTTTAATTTTTATTTTTATCATCATTAGGTGAAACCCAAATCATAAATGACGAACCCAAGTTCCAACCTGAAGAATTAGCCAAGGATGGCATTCACCTGGTCACCATTGAAGAGACATCCCAGTTGGGCTTAGACGAAGCTTCACAAATGTCCATGAATGAGCCACTAGTATTTAATAGACCCTCAGCAACTAATCCATCCACAGCATTTGTGGCCGATATGGATATAGAAGATTCGAATTCCCACAGTACGACTGGCCGTAATAATGATGATGTACCACCAAAACCTTCAGTACGGGAGATTGCTGCAAAACAAGAACCACTTGTTGAAGAGACTGCAACTTTAAATAATGATGATAATAGTTTGTCAGTGAAAGAGGAAAAAGAAGCGATTGACCAAAAAGAAAAAAGCGATAATTTGACGGAAAATGATATTCCAATGCCCGAGAACGTTGTGAAGATTTCAAGTGACACCAGTGAACAATCAAAGATTGTTGCAACAAGTGCAAGTGAACAAAAACAAGAAGACATTATACATCATGAAATAGATCTCGCCGATATTCCGCAGCCACCACCATCGCCAACAGAAAGTGAAAAGAATCGTCGTCAAGAGGAATTGGATGATTTGGCTATGCTAGGCATCGATGCCGATGATATGGCAGCTCAATGTATGTAAACGACGCGGACATTATTTGCCTAGATTTTTTTTTTCTTTCAAGAAAAGGTAAAGTTAGAATTTAATTCTTTTAAACATATAAATTATTTCTTATATTAACAATGGAGTAAAAATACATCTTCAAAGGTGTATTGGCGTATTCACATGCTTGAATAATTACAAACCGATTACATATGCAAACTAATGTAAAACACAACTTATCACAATTCCAAGAAAAATAAAAAAACAAACTGATCACAAATATTTTAAAACTATTACATATGAAGAGTTTTTTCTCTAATACTAGAAAATCCATGACCAGATTCAAACGAGTCTGGAGGGACAAGTGATAAGGCGGAAGCAAGGAGGGTAAATGTTAATGTGAACATCTAAATTGTTTCAAATTATATTTTGCATCAAATGATAATCAGCAAAATATTGTAATGCTCTCAACCAAATCGTTTGGGGTCGTTAAGAAAATTTTGAATCTGTTAAAGGTTTTGCAACGTCAATAATAGAAGAAAGTTAAACATCCAAAATGACGAAGATACTTCGTATTAAATGGAAGGGGGTACCTAAAAAAGAGCGGGTAAAGAAATAAGAAAAGTTATAATGTGTTTGATATCAGTATTATGTATTTTCTTGGTCTATCGTTGCCCTTCCTCTCCAGATCGTTGTTGTTGTAGCAGCTCCTACTGGTGTTTTCGTTCTGAATTTGTTTCTTACTATGGCCTGGGTTCATAATGATACTTGATTTAGGTGAGTAAGTAAACGAAAGAGGTGCAGCGTGTTATATGGGACTGTTCTGCGCAATGATGTCGATTCGGGCACAATACGAATCGAAGCGGATACTCCATCTAGATTTAAGTTGCACAGATTTAAAACAAGGTCACCTTGTCCTTACTCTAAATACTTCCGGCTGGCGAGTTGAAGATGACATTTCGAGGGCGAGGAATTTTGGAAACGCAGAATTTAATGCATATGAACTCCCTGATTTGGTGAACGCTTGTTATTATTTCGAGTCGCAAAACCAGACGTTTGATAGATATCTCTTAGAATTTACTATATAGTGACACAGCGGAAGTATAACGTTGTTGGTGATAGGAGAGATATAGAAGCGAGATAGAAAAGAAAGGGTTTATAGAGGAAGTTTGTTTGCAAGGTGATTGTCTAGTCAGGAAATGCTTTTATCAAACTTGTAGATGATGATGGGATATACCGGGTGAGATGAAAAAGTGCAACCTACTTCCGGCTGCTGTCATTTCTAAGCCACTTGTCCGACAGCTGTTAAAATCATTCCAGTGAAAGCTCATTATGTTGTTTACAAGCGTACAAAAGCATTTTCGTGAGAATTTTCCAGAATAAAAGTTATTCGTGATGGAATTCAAGTGATGGGCCTCCATAACCACCGATGGGCACTCTCTGCTCGTATTAATCGACCGTGGCATCAGAATAAATGCCGAATATTATCACGAAAATATTCTGGAGGGTGTATTAAAGCCTTGGGCACGCAAACATTTTGGCCGCAGACCTTGGATATTCCAATGGGACCCAGCACACTCCACCCACGAATGGTTACAAAATGAGGTTCCTCGCTTCATTTCCAGCGCACAGTGGCCACAAAAATCTCCGGATATCAATCCGTTGGACTATTGTGTCTGGAGTATTTTGGAAAGCTAGGTTGGCACTAAAAAATACCAAAGTGTCTATCACCTCAAACAAGCGCTTCGCCGGGAATGGGCCAAAATACCGCAGAGGAAAATTCGAACAGCGTGTGTTTCATTGGCCGTTTAAAGGCCATAATTCATGCCAAAGGTGGCCAATTCGAACAAATTTAAACTTATTCTAAAATTTAATGCTATTTCCGACATTTTTTGGATATATGAAACACAAACGCCAATTTAAGACAATTCTGTTCAAAACTATATTTGAAACATGTAAAAAATATGCTAAGTTCGGAAAGAACTTGAAAATTTTCAAAAACAAAAAAAAAATCCGTGGAAAAATACCGCTCAAATAAAAACCTTTATATGGGGGCTATACGAAGACGTTTTGCTGGAGCTGGGGCTACATGATATCTTGGACCTATGTAGACAATTTTTCTCTCTGGGGATAAAGTAATCACAGAGAACTCCTTGTATAGAATTTCAAACAATTCCATTTAAAAATGTGGCTGAAATCATCAAAATACCCAATATCGGGGGTATCGTTATATGGGGGCTATACGATATCGTGGGCCTATATAGACAATTATTTTTCAGGGGATCAGGAGGTACCGTTATATGGGTAATATAAGATATCGTGGACCTATATAGACAATTCTCTTCTAGGGAGTAAAGGACCCACAAAGCGCTCCTTCCATTGAAAAATGTGGCTGAAATCGTTAAAAAACCGAATATTGGGGGGTACCATTATATGGGGCCATTTGATATTATTATTATCTCTATATCGTCTGGAGGGAGTGTAATGCCAGAAAGGTAGAGTTTAAACAGTTCCGTAGACATCACTCTCTGTTTCGCTCTATAGATGTTCGACTTCTTGTTTCTGAATTCTACGTACGACTGGGGAGTGGTCTGAGCCTAAAGAAATGCCTGATTGCCATGTTACGTCATTCCTCAGACCTGGAAACACGATGGATATGTCCGGTGAGCTGTGGCAGTCTTCCCTTATTCTGGTGGGCGCGTCCTCATTTACTGTGCAAAACGTGGAGCTATCAATTTGCTTAGCCAGCGCCATGCCCCTTTGTTCATTACTTCTCTCTGGTAAAATCCCCTAGCACCAGGCGGTTATTGCCTAACAGAAGTGAAATATTACTAGGCGCACGCCTATTTAACGACGGAATGTACACGTTAAGCACCTCTACCTCGGCGGTTACACTCTTGATAGCTACCCCCATACATTCCATGTACGGGTCACTAGAGTCAAGCTCAGGCGAGATAAGTCTGTACGGGACAGAGTGGTGCAATAGGAACGGTAATCCTCCACCTCTGATGCGATCCTTCCTTAATACGTTGTATCCATCCGACTTTGAAGCGTGCAGGTGTTACCCATATGTTTCCTGGATCGACCTTGATGTTTTTTCGACTCTTGAAGCTTACGATAGGTAAGGTCACCATCGCAGTTGAATTGGAGAAAATATGAGTAATCCGGAACTCGAACACCAATGTGTGGCGCCTACGACGATGTGGACGACGAAAATGAACACTCACTGGGGTCTACATTGGCGCAGCTGGAATCAATTAAGTCCCTATAGCTATAGGGCTGCATCCGGTTTAAACCGGAACATTTCCAGGAAATGCACCCACTCCATAAATACGTTACATCTCACCCAGACCGATCTGTGGTAAATGCAATTATGACAAAGGGTGCAGAACCCTGGTCCGGGGACGGTCTCGATCCCGACTCGGACCAATGTTGCTCCCACATTAGAAAAATGGACGAACACGAACTCATATTTGCTGGATTAAGGACCCCTGGTTGAAGGTTTGTTCATCCGAATCACACCGGTACTTAGAACCGGCGCCCGTGCGTTTGTACAAAACAGTGATGTTATTTCTGTTTGGGATACCGTAGTTATTATACCCTCCACCATACTATGGAGGGTATATTAGGTTTGTCATTCCGTTTGCAACACCTCGAAATATACATTTGAGACCCCACAAAGTATATATATTCTTGATCAGCAAATTCTATGTTGATTTAGCGATGTCCGTTCGTCTGTTCATTAAACGAAATGATGTAGATTGATAAAATTTTACTCAAATGTATGTTATGTCTGCAGGACTTTTGGTATTAGAAATGGGCCATGTAGGTCTTCGTATAGCCGCTATATAACGGTACCTCCCGATATTCGGTATTTGGATGATTTAAGCGAAATTATTAACCGGAATTGTTTCAAGTTTGGTATTTGAAGTTTGTATTGGTTACTACAGCCTAAGACAGAAAATTGTCTGTGTAGGTTCTCGTCTTCGTATAGCCCCCATATAATGGCACCTCCGGATATTCGGTATTTTGATGATTTTAACGACATTATTCACCGGAATTGTTTCAAATTTTGTATTTGAAGTTCGCAACGGATGCTACAACCTATGACAGGAGATGGTCTATGCGGGTCCACGTCTTCGTATAGCCCCCATATAACATTATTCACCGATTTTTTTAGGTTTCGCATTTGAATATTGTAATAGCTTATGACAAAAGTTACCTATGCAGGTCCATGCCGCCGTATAGACACTAATATAACAGCATTCGGTATTTTTAAGATTTTAACGGGTTTTATTCTTTTAAGAATTGCCAAATTCGTTCCAAATGGTGGAGGGTATTCAAAGTTCGGCCTGGCCGAATTTCCAGTTTTTTTACTTGTTTTTTTTTTTTTTTTTTTTTGTCGCAAAGTAGTCAGTAGTCCCATAATTGTTGTTTTCATAAAAACAACGCTTGTTTTATAGTGGGGAAAGATGGTAATGTTTAGCAGGCGGCAAAGCAGGAAAATGTCCTTCATATATATCGTAGATTGCTTTGCAAGGCCTGCATGTATTCACTAGTTCTTCCAGTGCTTATTGTCGTTTTTGTAAACCAATGTTGGTTTCATTTGGTGTCATGAAACCAAGTTGGTTTTGTCAATTTCGAATGTAAATAGAACCAATGTTCGTAACAGCTGTTGTTGCTTACATGTGTTGTTTGTTTATTTGTCATTGAAATATCAGTAAAAGCAAAGTAAATAAAAAAAGAATAAGTCGCTATAAAAATTCCACGTTTATAGTCCTTTAAAAAATCCACGTTTATAGTCCTTTAAAAATCTTAAAAAAATCCACGTTTATAGTCCTTTAAATATCCTTAAAAAAATCATTAAAAAATCCACGTTTATAGTCCTTTAAATATCCTTAAAAAAATCATTAAAAAATCCACGTTTATAGTCCTTTAAATATCCTTAAAAAAATCATTAAAAAATCCACGTTTATAGTCCTTTAAATATCCTTAAAAAAATCATTAAAAAATCCACGTTTATAGTCCTTTAAATATCCTTAAAAAAATCATTAAAAAATCCACGTTTATAGTCCTTTAAATATCCTTAAAAAAATCATTAAAAAATCCACGTTTATAGTCCTTTAAATATCCTTTAAAAAATCATTAAAAAATCCACGTTTATAGTCCTTTAAATATCCTTAAAAAATCCACGTTTATAGTCCTTTAAATATCCTTTAAAAAATCATTAAAAAATCCACGTTTATAGTCCATTAAAAAATCCACGTTTATAGTCCTTTAAAAAATCTTTAAAAAATCCACGTTTATAGTCCTTTAAATATCCTTTAAAAAATCATTAAAAAATCCACGTTTATAGTCCATTAAAAAATCCACGTTTATAGTCCTTTAAAAAATCTTTAAAAAATCCACGTTTATAGTCCTTTAAAAATTGTTTAAAAAATCCACATTTTAGTCCTTTGAATATCCTTTAAAAATTGTTTAAAAAATCCAAGCAAATGAAAACTGACAGCTCTAAGCAACTTGGTTTATTTCCAATAACAAAACCAATAACATTGGCTTCTATGACAACCAAAACTCATAAAATTCTAATTCGAAAATAAAACCGATAACATTGATTTTTATGACACCAAATCATTTTTTCTTGTCGTTTTTAAAACCAGTAGTGACAAAATTGGTTTCTATGACAGCCCTGAATATTCAAGTTATTTCCGGGCATTGTTCACATCAAAATATTGATCCAATTTAAAATCATAACAAATATTTTTTTTTAAATAATTTATTTTATATAATTTAATATTTTTTACATCTGTATCTTAATAACATTATCTTAATATGTTTTCGTACATAATGAAAACGTATAGAAGTATGTATACTATAGAAGTATTGAGTATTCTAGCATTACTTAAAATTATTTAAAATATATGATCTGTACATTCTTAGCATTATATAATTTTAGGAGCAAAAGCTATTACAAACTAACTTAATTAAGGCTATCTAGATGATAACTAATAATCTTTACAAAAACTCCCTTGTAGAACTGTGGACATTCGAATTGTGGAAAAAAATAAACAATATGAAAAATAACAAAACATTTATAAAAACAATAAAAAATACCATTGTATGAGAAGGAAGTAATTCGTAACACAATCTCCGACTAAATGTTTATGTCCAAGCCACGCAGTCCATAGCGGTAGAAATAGGAAGAAAGCATAGCGAGGATCAATTTTTAAAAGTGTTTTTCGTTCGTTATTCCCGATTGGGAAGATAATCGATAGCCAGTATTCGTGCTATCAGAGCGATACTTTAGTGTTTTGGAATTGGGCAAGAAGGCCTGGGAGTGGATTCTTGTTCTATGAAAATATGAAATGAAAAATGTTAACTTTATAAAATGTTTTGTTTGACTATTCTTTCCTTAATAAAAGTTTTTGTTTTACATTTTCACAGAACAAAAATTAAAGTCCTGCATACACTACAGATCCATATGTAACACATCATGTGTAATTTTGAGCTGTTAAGCATGTTCCAACAGAAGACATTCACATTAAGCAGATTAGAAATAAAATACCACAAGACAGCAGCATGCTTTTGGGGATGTGGGAGAACAGAGCTTGTGGATATGATGTGAAATGTTTCAAGAAATATAACTACTAATGATTTTGTAATTTTTGTAAAAGGGCAAATTCCCAAAAAAGAAAATTAAATAACTGGAAAAATAGAGTTACCTGAACTCTGAAGCACTGAAATCAAATATCACAAGAGGCACTATTTCAAGTCACAGTTATGATTAGAAATATAATACCGCAAGACAGCAGCATTCTTTCAGGATGTGGAAGAATAGAGTTTATGGACATGATATGAAATCTTTCCAGAGATATAACTACTAATGATTTTTTTAATTTGTCACAAGACAAGATCAGGACAATTTCCCAAAAAAAAAACTAATTAAATAGTTGGGAAAATAGAGTTATCTGAACTCTAAAGCACTGAAATCAAATATCACAAGAGGCACTATTTCAAGTCACAATTATGTTTATGACAGCAAATTTAGTTGTCTGGCCGAACTTACATAGGCCATAATATAGAATATTACGAGTTCACCACCAAATGTCTCCACTAAAATTCTCATTTTTAAAAATCTAAAATAAGCCTTTTCCAGAACTTCTAGAATTTTTTTTACCACAATAACCAATTTTCCCCTTATGGTATCAAAGAAATTTGCTAAAATAGTCGATTCTTGCAGGTTCTGGAACAAAGCAAATAACAAACAATTTCCAGTACCAGCAAGATACTACTAATTTTGGAATTCTCTTCGCTATCATAAAGGGAAATCGGTTATTGTAGCAAAAACTTTTAAATTCTTGTAGTTCTGGAAGAGACCTATAGCCTACATAAGGTCGGGGAGTAAGCCCATCTGACAAACAAATTTGCCGTCAAAAGACAAATTGTGATTTGAAATTCAAAGAGAGTCAAATCACAACAGTGCAAAAAACTACTAAGTTTATTGTCAAATCGTTGTCAAAAGTAGTCTACTTGGCCCAGCTTATGTAGGCCTTGATCTACAGGGTGAGATGAAAAAAAAACTGCATCCAACTTCAGACTGCTGTCATTTCTAAGCCACTCGTCCGACAGCTGTTAAAATTATTCCAGTGACATCACATTATATTGTTTACAAGCGTAGCAAGGCATTTTGGTGAGAATTTTCCAGAAAAAAAAGTTATTCGTGATGGAATTCAAGCGTGATAGTGTGATTTCTTTATATTTAGCTGGAAAACCACAAGTGGCTATCGTTAGAGCACTGCAGCATTTAAATGTGAGTACAACTTTTGTGTCTCGTACCATCGCTCGTTACCGTGATACTGGTAGCCCGTAGCCTGACGTCAAGGAAGTGGGCGGAAGAAAACAGCAACATCATCAGAAATGGTTCGAAAAGTAAAGAAGCGACTTGATTTGAAACCCACGTCGCAGTCGCCAAAAAATGGCTCGTGAGCTGAACATATCGTAATATTCCAATCGGCAAATATTGAAAAATGAGCTCAGGGTAAAGCCATTGAAGTATCAAAAATTGCAAGAACTTACACCGGGCAACGGAAAGAAAATAGACTCAAAAGAGCTAAAGAGTTGCTTTGCTTGGCCGAAAGTGGTGAACTGCCGAATTTGGTTTTCTCCGAAGGGAAAACATTCGTTGTCCAGCAGTTTGTAAACAAAAAAATGATAGTGTTTACTTGCCAAAGAGGTCAGCTGAAAATGTGCACCTTCGGTTGGCCACCAAAAAGAATTCAAGCGAAAGCCATGGTGTGGGCCGCCATAACAGACGATGGTTGCTCTCCGCTCGTATTAATCGATCGTGGCATTAAAATAAATGCGGAATATTATCTCGTATTAAAGCCTTGGGCACACATACATTTTGGCCGCAGACCTTGGACATTCCAACAGGACTCAACACCATCGCACTCAGCATGCGCCACCCAATAATGTTTACAAAATGGGGTTCCTCGCTTCATTTCCAAAATCTCCGGATACCAATCCGTTGGACTATTGTGTCTGGAATATTTTGGAAAGCAAGGTTGGCATTAAAAAAATACCAAACGTTTTTCCACCGCCTTGGTCAAAAGCTATATTTGGATCTCAATTTTATTTTTACATGGTTATTTGGAATGTTTAAATTATTTCTGTTTTATTTATTGAAAAAAAAAAAAAAAAACACTGTAAAAGTATATAATGGAAATCCGAAATCGAAATTTTGACATGCATACAAAACTAGCCACCAATTTACTTGATGATGCATCATGGCTACATAATACAATCTATATTGAGACTAACACAATTTTCCGCAATACCTCTACTAAGTGTCAATATTTACATGGGCATGCAGCAGTGATTGTGTTTTTGTCTGCTCTATATACAGGCGTAAAATCCTAGACATCATTATTGTGGTCCTTTGTGGAAGGATATAAAAATCAAAATCAAATAACCAAAACATAATCTTTCTCTAAAAAATAACTATTGTAGTTCTCTCTTTTCTTTAATAATTTAATAAGTTTTTACTTAGTAAAACTTTAATTCAAAATTGTTTCTTTTTTGCAATGAACAAAATATTTTCTTTATATTATAGAGACTAAACTAAAGAAATGGAAAAAAAAAAGAAAAATGTTTGCTAAAAACTCGAACAAAAGAATAAAATTAAAGTCTTAAATATTAAAAAAAGAAATAAAAATATCTCATTAGTAACAATTTCAGATGGGTGGTTCTACACAGGTAGAAGAAGACGAAATGGCATTACTACTTGTAGTCGTGTTTGTACAACAAGCAGTACTACTAGAAATTGCATCAGTTGCCGACGGACAACTCGGCATTGCGTTTTTATCCGCTGTTGGCGCTGTTGTTGTTGTATGATGCTATATTCTTCGCTTGTTTTGATTGCGATTATTGTTGCGCTGATTGTTATTAAAGTTGCGTTGATTTTGCTGCATTTGAGGCGGCATGCCGCCAACAAAATTGGGTCCAGGACCACCACCCATGCCCCCAACAAAGGGTCCCAATAAACCGGGACCGCCACCACCGCCAATGAAATTGGGATTTATGTTCAAATTTAAATTGTTCATGGGGTTGTTGAAGGGATTCATGGGATTTCCCTGGCCCGGTGGCAATCCCAATAGACTGGGTCGGGCAAATGGCATTGGTGGTCTTTGGAACATGGGTCCCAGGGCGGCAATGTTTGGTGGCGGTCCTTGTGGCACCATATTTGGTGGTGGCGCTCTCAGGAAATCCAGACTATTGTTGTTCAATTGATTAGCAGCATTGGGTGGTGGTTGCGAAAGATTTGGCAAGGTTATATTGGATTTATGATTACCTGGTAAATCTGGAGGGCCACCACCATCGCCACCATTCTCATCGCCATCGCCCTCAAGGTGGGCCACCTCGCCATTGTCATCGATGTAAATGCCCAAATTTGTTAGAATCTGTTGCAATGTCTGATTGTTGACAATAAACGAAATATCGAATATTTTATTGGGTGAGGGGTCTTGATGGAATTTCTTCAATTCCGTCGACACCAAGGCCAGTTGTTGGTTGACCATAATCTTGAATTTGGAATTGAGATTTTTATACCATTCAGACTTTTGCAGTAAATTACGGATCTCAACATTTTGTTTTTGTCCGCCGGCAGGATTTGAAGCCGACGAACTATCCGCTGTTGATGTAGATGTGGAGGCGGCAGCACCTGACCGGGGATCTGCCCGCCTTGGATCGGAGGACGAAGAACGTGGATCTGTGGTTCTGGGATCTGATGTTCTTGATTGGTCCAACGTTTGTCTGGGATCCGAGCTCCTCGGATCACCACGGGGATCTAACGAACGAGGATCACTTCTGGACGATGTTTTCGCCAGCCTATCTTCAGACGTTGACGACGAGGGAGGTGTATAGTAACGCGGCGAAGCATCTTCAGTCTCTGAGGGTGAAGCTATACTCGTATTACTTGACTTGCGAACTTTTCTGCTCAAAGCAGAGGATGTCTTCGATGGTGAGAGTTCTGGCAAACCTAAAATTCTTCTCAGTCTTGGATCGGTTGTTTGGTCTGATTTAAAATGTTGTTTCAGATCATTATAGCTGGGCTGTGGCACATCCACCACATAGACTTTATACGTTATGGGCAGGTGTGATGTTATAGAGCCATCTATTTCGGTGGCCGGTGTATAATTTGTCATTGGCTGGAATGGCAGCCGTAAATCTGTATCACCCGTTGTCGATGAATCGCCCAACAAAGAACCAGGCAGGAAACGCATGTCTTTGTCTGTCTTTAACCTCGTGACATCCTCTTCCGTACTATGATTATTGTAATCATATATCGTTGATCGTTCATAGATGACTTTTGCCGTTGTGGCCTCCTCCGGTGACTCGTCGTTATCCCTTAGCCGATCAAATGATGATTTGGGAGATTGTGAGCCCTCTGGGGTATTCTGTGAAGGTGGGGTACGCGAACGTGATCTACTATCGCGGGATTGTCTACTTTTCATATACAGGGGAGTGTAATATAAATCTTCGCCACCCACACCTCCTCCACGACCTACTTCATCATCATTGCTGGGTGATTTAAAGGCGTTTCCGTCGGCCAATTTGCTGTCCGCAGAACCATAGAAACCCCCGCCGGTTCTAAACGGATTGCGTAGGTTTTTAGCTGTATCGCTCATTGAGCCATGTAATTTGCTAGCAAAACCATTATCATACGTTTGAGTATTCAGCGACTGGAAAAGAAACATAAGATATATAAATAACATTTTGTTGTTGCAAAAAAGTCAGGCTTAATCCCGTTATTGTTGTTTTTATAAAAACAACGTTTGTTTATTGGTGAAGAGGGGGTGAGGCATATAAATAATAAGTCTAACTTTTAATTCATTTTTGAAGGATTTACAAAAGAAAAACAAAATACTCTTCTACGACTTGTTGTTGCAGAATGGAACAATAATTGTTCTATTTTCAAGAATATGGGTTTACTTACATTGTGGCTTTGATCAAGACTGGATGATTTGTGGATAGTAGACTCTTCAGCCTCGATATTGTCGTCATCGTCTATGACTAATTGTTCATCATCTTTTTCGTCATCATCTGGAAAATCAATGATGTATTTGGAAACATGAAAATAAATTCCCCCTTCGAATTGAAGCCTTTAAAAAAAACAAAGCACCACTTACATATATCTCCTTTATCAAAGGAGAGATTTGAGTCTTTTAGATATTGAGAGTAGTCAACAACAACCACGCCACTGCTGCTGTTGGAATTTGAGGAGTTTGTGGTATCTTTATCGAGACCATCAAGTTGGGATGTAACTGCCGATGTTGTGGACAGGGATGTGGCTGTACTAGCTGCTGGCACATTGGGTAGGAAGCGCATATCAACATCACCATTGGACATTTTGCTGCAAAAGAAAATAGGAGGTAGTAAATTTGTTAAAACAATTCCTGCCATGAAGAGATTCTCTAACTTACCCCAAATCTTGTGATTTGTTCGTATTGTCTGTTGTCTTTTGTTTCAGTGAACTGCCGCCACCACCAGCACCACTACCGGTCAATTTGGCCATATTCATGGCATTCAATTGAATCTCCGTAATCTCCGCAATGGTCAAACCAATTTGATTTAGCTGGCCAAATGTCAACTGATTAACCTGTTCCAAATTTACAATACCCATTTGGGAGAGTTTTTCTATGTGTTCTTGGCTCAGGATGCCGGTAAGATTTTTCAAATCCAAATAACTGGGAGCCGACTTTGAGGGGGGCTGGATAACCGAGGAGTTTTGATTATTTCCCCCGCTGCTGCTGTTGCCACTGTTATTGTCCGCCCAACGTGACTTACGTTTGCTTTCATTGGATGATTTAAATTGTTGCGATGACATATCCATATTGTTCGGAGCAGGTATGACCAAATCCAGTAGCGAGGGTATTGCATTCTGTGACCTTTGATGATTATGATCATTGTTTTTGTTATTATTATTATTGTTGTTGTTATTACTGTTATTGCTATTGTTGTTGCGGCGATTGTTGTTCATGGGCAAGGAGTTGGCATTAATGGGAGCCCAAACATTTTGTACATTAAACTTTCGACACAATTCCTCATGTCGTTTGGTTATCATGTTAATGGAATTTTCCCTGGACAGACGCTTGAAGTTGCCCAAAATCTCTTTGGGTGCCGTTTCCAAATGTTTCAGCAGTATATTGCGTAATTCCTCGGACAATGGTTCGCCATGGGCGAATTTACAATCATCCTTGGCCGTGCACTCCATACCCAGATAGTAATATTTACATGGAAAATCGGCATGCATGTACGAGCATTTGTCCCGCTTGGCACAGCACTCCATTAAGTAGAATTTACACAATTCTAGTTTGCGCGGCTCATTGCGGTGCTTCTCATCCAAAGATTCGCGTCGCGAGCGTTTCTCGTGGCGTTCGGCACGTTTTTCTTTGCGTCGCCGTGACTCTTTCTTTCGACGCCTTCTACGTTCGCCATTGCTGCCCTCGCCATTGCTATCGTAACTGTCATAGGAAGAGGCCGACTCATCACGGGAATCGTAGTCATCATACAAATGTATTGTGGGTGGTGGTAGTGGAAGAGCAGCCAATGGTGGTGGACTGCCGCCGCGTACATTCATCATTTCAAATTCATCCATATCCATTTCATCGCCCAAGGGTGGTGGACCCAGGGGATCATTGGTATCTTGACGTTTGCGCTAAAAAAATAAATGGATTTGTAGCATATTTTATGAATTGGGAATGTTTCCAATGTTTACCTTTTCCAAACGTTCCTTCTCTTTTTCTTTTTCTTTCTCCTCACGCTGGCGTTTACGCTTGCGCCGTCGACTACTTTTACTTTGACCCTGTCCTCCTCCTTGGGCACCCGACTCATCACTGTGGTCGTGTTGTTGCTTTTTGGCTTCTACGATCTTCGGTATTGTTGGCTCGACACCTTTCTTAATTAGGACATCTTCGAGGGCCTTTTGAATTTTACTGGCATAGTCATCTTCGGGTGGCTGTGGTTTTTTTGACTTTGATGACTGTTGGTGTTGATGCTGTTGCTGTTGATTTCCAGCTGTTGTTTCATTGGCTTGTGTATGGATGGTGGAAGATTTCTGTTGTTCCTGTGGTTTTTGTGGTGCTGTGTCTTTAGCTTCAATCTCAACAGATGCAGCCGCCGCCGTAGATGATGGTGTTGCTTCTTCATCGCTATCATCAATTTCACCATCTTCCATTTCTTCATCATTTTGTTCATCTTCTGCCTTATTTGGATTTTCTTCTTTTTGTTGGGACATTTTGCTGTTGTGTGTGTTTTTGTGTTTTTGGAATGATATTTGAGTTAAACTTGTATTTGGGATATTACAAGGACATTGAATAGAATTTGGGAATTTTTATATTGGCAAACGCACAGAATGTTAATAGACCGTACATTAGTTCAATAATTGTGGGAAATCTGAAATGAAAAATAAAATATTTTCAAGGTTACATTTTATGTTAGGTTATGTGTTTATTTTGGAATGCAAATTTCAAATGCTGAAGTAAAATATATCCTCCTCACCAAGAACAAGTGGGGTAACGCAACAACGTATATTTTTAGCCAAAAAAAAAGTAAAACATTAAAAGATATTTTGGTTCCATTGAATATCTTGAAGGTACTTTCTATGATATTCACAAATTATAGTGAGTGTATCGATATCATAAGGGGAAAATCGGTTATCGTAGTAAAAACTTTTAAATTATTGCAGTTCTGGAACAGACCAAATATCAATTATACAGGGTGAGATAAAAAAAACTGCTAACAACTGCTAAAAATAGCAAAGTGTCGATTATCTCAAGCAAAAGCTTCGCCGGGAATGGGCCAAAATAGCACAGAGCAATATTAGAGCAGCGTGTTTCGGTGGACGTTTGAAGGCCATAGTTTGTGTCGAAGGTGACCAATTCGAACAAATCTAAACTTATTCTAATATTTGAAGCTATTTCCGAGATTTTAGGTTTTTATTCAATAAAATTAAAAAAATGTAAAAATTATGGCGTTTGAATTTGTTGCAGTTTTTTTATTTCGCCCTGTATTCCCTCATATTTGCAATATTGCAATTAAGAAGCGAATCAGCCTGAATGTATTCCAATGTAAAACTCCTACAAAATAGTATTACTTATTACAACAAAATCAAAAATTATTTTAATTAAAAATCTATTGGTTTCGTTATTCGTGGAACTTGTATTGAACGTGGCCAGATCTTTCTCATTACATTTTTGCGGTTTCTTGATCTAAACTTGTATCAGCAAAATGGTATGCGGATATAAGAAATCAAGGCCTTATGTCGGCATATATTTTTGGTAGTCAGGAATAAAAAGCTATTAAGTAGGTTAATTTTTTTTACCGCTCCCTCCCACCGTATCAGTTTATATAAAGAAAATCTTTCTGTGTGCAAAGTTTTAATGTTCAAATTTGAACTAAAACGTTCAAAGTGATTAACCAAACTAAACGGATATACGAAAATGAGGAATTGAAAATTAAAAATGAACATGATTTGCCGAAGACTTGATGCATTACTGTTTTATACTGAATTTTAAAACCAAATCGTCGGTTTCAAGGCCCATAGGGTTTTCCGTCACCATGGTACTTTTTCAAAATATGTGCAAAAGAAATAATTATTGTCAGGAGATTGTCTGTGCAGGTCCACGTCTTCGTATAGCTCCCATATAACGGTACCTTCCGATATTCTGTATTTTGATGATTTTAGCGAAATTATTCACCGGAATTATTTCGAATATTGTATTTGAAGTTCGTAATGCATACTACAGCCCATGACAAAAAATTTTGTAAGCAGGTCCACGTCTTCGTATAGTCTCCATATAACAGTTTTCATACAAGTGGTAGTTTCCGGAAGTTTTTTGCCATTTTTCAAGTTCCTTCCAAATCCGAACTGCTTTTTTACATGTTTTTATAATAATTATACAGAATTTATAGCCATAACCACAAATGAGGGCTTTATGATACTGATTCATTTAATTCTTGAAGAATAGTCAAAACAAATTTGCCGTAGTCTAAATTTAAATTTCAAAAGGAGAGTTTAAGACGTAGGTGAGAGCTAAAGCCCATATCTCGAAAAATGTGAAATGTGTGCAATTATGTAGTTGAAATCGGCATTTAATTCTTGAAGGGCAGTCAAATTTGACGCAGTCTAAATTTTAATTTCCAAAGGAGAGTTTATAACGTAGATGAGAGCTAAAGCCCATATCTCGTAAAATGTGACTTCTTCCGGGCAATTATGTAGTAAAAATCTGTGCCACTTCAAGGACTGCAAACTGGCAGCCATATTGATTGGCCAATGCAGGGGTACTTACGAAAATTTGGAGAGGTAAATATCGGAATGTATGGACTTACGCAAGCACTTGCGCTATAGGTTTCAAAGTCAACCCATATGAACTCTTGTCTAAAATTACTCCATAAATTGTTTCAATCATTTACAATCTCTTTATACGTTGACGAAAAAGCTATTGCCTAAAATTAATTAATATATTACAAATCCTGGTACGCTTTGAAATAATTGGGGGAAAATAGAATAATAGAGAAAAAATATACCCATGACCCCAAGTTGGTGAGGCTAGCATTGCTAAAATGTCACTTTTTTGAAATTCATAAATTACATGGACGTTATAAGGAATTATATTACAATTCAATTATTAAAAATTCTTTGCATAAGAAACAGATATTTTTTAAGTAATGAGTTTGAAAATATTCAACTAATAATGAAGAATGAAAAAAAAAAACGTCAAAAATTGTCTATTCACACCATTCAGATATTGGCAACACTGTTTTTTATAGGCAGCAGAGTACAAAGTCACAATATTACAAACAAAAAAGTGTAACGCCGTAAAGGCATAGGGATGTCAACCACTAATAAAAATAACATTTAAAATTTCAGAGAAAATTGATGAAGAATTAGATATCCTTTAAAAATATGGAATGCATAGATGTCATATATAGCATAAAACAGGGAAAATATGAGATTGTCATACTCAACATATATCATATATGCACTTGGAAATATGAAAGAGCATTAACATTTCATGTTTGTTTTAGCTAAGACATGAACCGCATATGTTCTGTTTTGTGTTTGTTTGCTGACAGCTGCAAGAAAAAGAAATGAGAACAAAAACAAAGTCAATGCAGGTACATAAAATAAAAACGGACAAAAACAAAAGATATGAAATAAACAAATATTTTAAGGGAAATATTGTTGACACTTTTTGATGAAACAAAATACACTTCCGCGATAAAAACACACATTTTTTGTCAAAACATTGTTGGTCTTTTTTTAACTGCTCTCTGCTTGATATATCATTTTATAATAATAATGTTGATGACGGTGTTAAACAGTTTCCCCACAATTAATAAAAAAAAACAAAACTTTCAAGGAAAACAGGTTATCGTATTTGGTGGTATTCATAGATGATTAATGCACGTTAATAAGGCATACATACGTCTTGTCTTTCTGAGGTTTGCTATTCTCAAAATCAATCTTTTGGTATTTTACGTTTTGTCTCTTCGTTTTTGTTCGTTTCATTGAAAAGTATTGCAAACGAAGTTGATGGGAATGTTGATGATAATGACGATGATTATTACGTTTTGCGAAATGTATCAAAACATTGTTACGTTTACCCCGTCTAGAGAGGAAATACAAACATACACTTTCATACATACTTGGTATAATAATATGTATGTATGTACAACAGAGAAACGAAAAAAACATTGGATTGTCGTTTTCTTAAATAGCCATGTATGTGCATGTGGACAAATATATATGTATGCAAGCAGATTTATATAGACCAGAGAATCTGAAAAAAAAAACAGCAGCTGCACCATGACAGAGAGAGGGAGGTACAAGTAATTGACAAACCATGAGAGTTGATAGAAAGTGAGATGCCACATAATTGCAAATTGCGCAGGTATACATACAAAACAATGACGTATTTGTGTTAATTTATATTAACAATTAGGTTTGAAAATTGATTATTATGCATTTTTACCTGGAATTTTACACAGATAATGAACACTATTTTTGGTATTGCTTGTTTTCAAAAGGTAAACACACTTAACTGGACGGGACGGCTACTTTTATAACAAGGAAACCATGCCCTCCCTCCTTGCTCTTTGCTTCACTTTTCATGAAACATCTTCAACCAGACTTTGTTGTTGACTTTTCCAATTATAAAAAGGACCAAAAAACTTGGCCAAAACATTAATTTTTGTTTCCAAAATTCTTTCCAAACAACGCGTAATATTTTTTTTTGAATTTCTTGTTTTTGAGATCTTTGTGGTGTGGCTTTTGGATATCTCTCGTCGTTTCTTCGTCTTTATTATATGCCATTGTAGCAATCGCTCGTATCAAAACGAGAACTGTTTCTTTCATCTATCTCTGTCTCTCTTATGGCACAACCAATGTGCCGTCCGTTTTCTTCATATCTGCACCCTACTACTTGTCATACATACATACTGCATACATACATAAATTTTTCTTTCTACGCGAAGGAAAAAAGTAAAGGGACCAAGTTTTTCAACTAATTTTTCCATTCCAATTTTATGGAGGAAAAATATCCAATCAGCTCCAAACCTGGCTAAAAACCTTTTCTTTTTGGCAATGCAATTATGTAATTTCTTGCTTGCTTCTCCAAATTATAGTCCACACATACATAGGTACATAGTGACAGACAGGAGGAGGTCATCGCAAGATTCCAAAAAAAATTAAATTAAAAAACGACATTCCATTTTTTCCTCTGTTGTATGTACGTATGTATGGGTGTGTAACAATATACGAAAAAAAAACTAAGATATAATGATCATTTATGCAGGTAAGCAGTAATTACTTATTATATTATTAGTTATCGATTGCTTTTTTACTTTTGCAATAATACTTCAGATATCCAACTTTTTGCGTTTAAATTTTACAATATTGTATAGATTAACATGTGTTAACAATTCAACAATTTCAACTTGAATGAGACAAATGCCTGGTTGCGAAGTAAAATATCGCCTGTGTTTCTGGCACACACACACACATAGATATAGAAAAGTAGTAAATACAATTCAAGAGAGAGACATGACAAACATGAAAATGAGAGAGAGAGGTTTTATTTATATAGAGCTATGTATGTACGAATATGTGTATACAGTGTTCAGGCACTTATCGAATTTTTACCTTTGAACAAATTGTACCTGTGTATAATTAAAACAACAATTGCATTACAGGCATTAATTTTGATTGGGGACATATGGCAATTGCAATTTTGGAATAACTCCATTTTAATAGTAAAAACGTGTTAAGAATCTTGTAAAGAGATAAACAAATGTATTTTACTATATCTCTGCAACAAGGCAGGTGAACATAAGTAGGTAATACGTGTCTTGGAAAACAACAGCAAATCTCTGAAAAGTATTCCAAACTACAGAGTAAATAGATTAGCTGTTATAACGTAATTTTATGTTTAAAGATTAATGTATACACAGCCAAAAAGACCACCACTACTTTAACTCCCTCGTTAATTATGGGGATGACGTTTCTTCATACATAATTTTTATGGCGTCATGGTTAAACAGGTGTACGTACGTATGTACCGATTTAAAAGATTTTCCATCACTGATTTAAAATTGTATTTACACTCTCCCAATACACCCAATCACGAGATAATTGTTAATTATTGTAGTTCTATTTTTATCAAGCGCACAGTGACTCAAAACATGCCTAATTTAGACTCATTGAAAAAACAATTGTCAACAAGAACAACGTGCCTACAAAAGATAGTCTTATTTCAGTAACTATATGCTCTCATGGTAGAATATGTTTAAATTTTTTTTTCAAAAATTATTCATTTGACAATATTTTATTGTCAAAAGTGGTATTTATACACAAATCAGAGATGGGAACCTGTTTTTATGTAGTGAAAAGTGACAAGGTAAATTACAGAAAATTCAGAGATGGGAATGCTTATTTGAAATGACTTTACTTTTTTAATTTTACCATGTATGCTCTGTTCCAGAAATGCAAGAATGTAATGCGTATCTCCTTTATGATATCGAAACAATTGAAAAAATAGTACATTCTTGCAGGTTTTGGAACAGAGCAATCAAATATTGTTTTTAACTCAGTCCAATGTACTTTATTTGTTCTATTTTTACTTTGTAGATTATTGGTTCTATTTTTATCGGACGCACAGCGACTCAAAGCAAGTGGAATTCAGTCTCATTAATTATAAAATTAAAAATGTTTTATTTATGTTTGTCTTAAATTGCATGGCATAATTACAGAAGGTAAAACAAAGCTACCCCCCTAAATATTTTTTTCTTTTGGTGCCTTTATATGTGTGCATTGTTTTGAATAAAAAGTACAATAATTTGAAAGTATTTCAAAATAAATGCAAATTTTCGACGTAGATGGGTAACAAATTTACAATTTTGTGATAACTACTATTTTAGATTCAATCTTGTGGAGTAACCATGAAATTCAATATAGGAATTTTGTTCAAAAAAAAAAAAAAACAGCCTGTTGCATATTTAAAAGTCTATTTGACACTAGACTCCAGCACAGAGTTTAATTTTTTTTGTTTCTTTGAAGTTGAGCAAACTTTCTTATTGTAAACATTAAAAGTGTAAAATATATTTAAAAAGTGTAAGTTAATTTGATTTTTTATAAGGAAAATGTCAGCAAATGAAATAAAAACATAGAAAAGAGGCAGAAAATTTAATTTTGGAAAAAAGAAATTAAACTGAAGACGAGAATTATGAAGATAATGTTCAGGAACGTGAAAAGAAATTTGAAGAGCGTGAGGAGCCAATTTTCGTATGCCTTCGATGATTTGGTGCAGCAAAATGAGGCAATACTCAAACAATATGTGAGTATTTCATTATTACTAACTATTTAATTAACTACTTAACAAACTAATTATAAATAGTTGTATAGTTTTCCAATAACCTATTTTCAGAAAGAATTTATTGCCAAAACCGGCGGTGAAGGACCTGCACAATTTATTTGGTTCCAAAAGTTTTTTTTCAGATAATTTAGTCTGCCAATACAGCTGGATGGGGACCAATGTAAAGCCGAGTGAAGAAAATTCCATTTTAGTGACGATAATCAAAAGTAAGTATTTTTAACACGAATATAAAGTATTAGTAAAATGGACAAACGCTTAAATATTTTATTTCAGATATTTGTAATCTTAAATACAACAGCAATGGCAAGGATGTGTACACAAACCTTCAAAAAGATTTTGCTCACGCTAAAGAACATGTGAAAAAAATAACAAGTAAAAAAGCTGTAAGTTCGGCCGGGCCGAACTTTTAATACCCTCCACCATTTGGTACAAATTTGGCAATTTCCAAAAAAAAAAAAAAAAAAAAAAAAAATACATAAATAAAAAATAGTAAAATCCGTTAAGAATTCTGTTAAAACCTTAAAAATACCGAATGCTTATACGACGACGTGGACCTGCATAGGCAACATTTTTCATAACTTATTACAATATTTACATGCGAAACTTGAAGAAAAATCTGTTTATAATGTAGCTAAAATCATCAAAATTCCGAATATGGGGGGTACCGTTATATGGGGGCTATACGTAGACGTGGACCTGCACAGACAATTTTCTAGCATGGGCTGGATATCCATTACGAACTTCACATGCGAAATTTGAAACAATCCCGGTAAATAGTGTCGCTAAAATCATCAAAATGCCGAAAATGGGGGGGGGGGGGTACGGTATATGGGGGCTATATGAAGACGTGGACCTACATGGCCCATTTTCTGTTTTATGCTGCAGTATCTATTGCGAACTTCAAATACCAAATTTGGAACAATTCCGCTAAATAATGTCGCTAAAATCATCAAAATACCGAATATCGGGGGGTACCATTATATGGGGGCTACACGAAGACGTAGACCTGCACAGATAATTTTCTGTCTTACGCTGTAGTATCCCTTAAGAACTTCAAATGCCAAATTTGAAACAATTCCGGTGAATAATGTCGCTAAAATCATCAAAATACCGAATATCGGGAGGTACCGTTATATGGGGGCTATATGATAACTTGGACCTACATGGCCCATTTACGAACTTAACCTGCCTACTGGCAAAATATACATGTGTGCAAAATTTTAGCCTTCTATCTCAATTTGTTCGAAAGATAGCGTGATTACAACAGACAGACAGACAGACAGACGGACAGACAGACAGACAGACACACAGACAGACAGACGGACATGGCTAAATCGTCTTAGAATTTTACGCTGATCAAGAATATATATACTTTGTTGGGTCTGACATGAGTATTTCGAGGAGTTACAAACGGAATGACAAAATTAATATACCCTCCATAGTATGGTGGAGGGTATAAAAAGTTCGGATTAGAGTTCCTGATTTTTTATTTTTTTGCTATATTTTTTTTACTAAGTCTACAAAAAATGGCATTTAATGAAATTAAGAATGTTGTTTATATTACACATGAAAATGAACATGAAAATACTAGTAGAGATTATAATTATAAATTATTTTATTTTATTTAGAAATCACGTACGTAATACGTAAAAACGTAAACACTCATCTAAGTCTCATAAATGACTCGAATTTAAGACAAAGGTGAACTAAAAAAGATTCCTAAATGAGTGATATATGACACTTAAAAAACTAATAAATTTCTCACTAAAGACTCATAAATGATAAAAAAAATTACTTGAAACAGAGTCGAAAAAGATTCACAAATTAAGAGTATTAGCGCAATAAATGATTAGAAAACGATTCGAAAGACTTGTAGAATAATCAGAAAATGGTTGAAGAAGACTCTTTACTAATCTAGAGGAAGACTCATTTGTGATTTATTTAGAAGAGTAGCGGAAGGTCACGTTTTTCTCCCCACAAATATGTCTTTTATGATCAGAAAATGCGCTCATATTCCAGCTTTTTAATCGCCCAACAGGATCAAAAAAGACTAGAGATTTAATTAATAATTTCAAAAAATGCTGACTGGGCGATTACAATTTATTTCTGAAGTCGGCACACTTCTGCCAATTTTGTGTATGTATTTATTGTTTTGAAAAATAAAAACACAATATTTTCAAAATCAATGATTGGAATAAACGTAGATTGATGTGCGCGCTTTGAATATATTAACCAGTTTAGCCATGGAATTGAAAGATTGGACGATCTGTATCATATTTTTGAAATAAAATCCAGGCACTTCATTCATTTTTCGCTTTATTTAAATCATTTTAAAAATTAGGAAAAATGTGAAATCAATGAAAACACCTTGTTGCATAAAATTTTGAATAATTTTGACAGGAAGCAGGCATAGCCTCAGAGCTGTATTTCTATAGTTATATGAAGCTGTTCTACCTCCTTATTGTACCTCCTTATCTACCAATTACAAAAAGCTTGCCACATCTCTGTAAAAAAATCATTTATTTTAACGCAAAGATGTAATAATGAAAACCCGATAATGTGAACGTGTCCTTTACTTTTCCCAAAGTAAAGGATAACTTTGGGAAAAGTAAAGGACACGTTCACATTATCGGGTTTTCATTATTACATCTTTGCGTTAAAATAAATGATTTTTTTACCGAGATGTGTCAAGCTTTTTGTAATTGGTAGACGCTGCATTTTTTCACTATGGAATCTTCATTTTAGTTTAAAAATAATAAACAAAAGAAAATTTGTAATTAATTTCATGAAATAAATCTATAATTCAGTTCTTCAATATAAAATAAACGATTAGGGTTATCAATTTTTTTATTTAAATACATTTTGCTGTTATTGTCACATTATCAATATAAATTCAGTAAACTTTACGTTAAAAGATAAAGGGAAGATGGTCCGACCTTTTGCTTATCGGACAGTTAATACTTAAATGAAACTAGCTGAACTTGCTTCCGAACGAAATGAAGTAGATTCATAAATTTTACTCAAAATCATATTATGTCTGCAGGAGTTTTGGTATTGAAAATGGGTGATGTAGGTTCACGTTTTCGTATAGCCCCCTTATAACATTCGGTATTTTGATGATTTTAGCGACATTATTCACGGGAATTATTCCAAATTTGGTATTTGAAGTTCGTAATGGTTGCTACAGCCTATGACAGAAAATTGTCTGTGTAGGTCCACGTCTTCGTATAGCCCCCATAAAACGGTACCTTCCGATATTCGGTATTTTGATAATTTTTGCGATATTATTTATCGGAATTGTTTCAAATTCGGTATTTGAAGTTCGTAATGAATACTACAGCCTAAGACATAAAATTGCCTGTGCAGGTCCACGTCTTCGTACAGCCCCATATGACGGTACCCCCGGTATTTTGACGGATTATTCGGTATTTTGACGATTTTAGCGACATTTTCACCGGAATTGTTTCAAATTTGGTATTTGAAGTTCGTAATGAATACCATGGTACAATAAAAAGGTAAGGTAAAGCAAACAGCTGATTACAATTTTTTTCAAAGTGTGCCCGACTTCTGCCAATTTTGTGTATGTATTAATTGTTTTGAAAAATGAAAAAAAAAATTTTTTTTTCAAAACCAATGATTGGAAGACACATGAATTGCGGCTCACGCATTAAAGCTATTAACCAGTATAGCCATGAAATTGAAAGATTTAACAGTTAGGATCATATTTTTGAGAGAAAAATCCAGACATTTTATTAATTTTTCGCGCAATTTAACTCATTTTAAAAAATAGAAAATATGGTAAAAAAGAAAACAATAATTTTGAATGAGTCTGACAGGAAGCAGACCTCAGAGCTGTATTTTTGTAGTTTTTCGAAGCTGTTCTACCTCCTTATTGTACCATTATCAATACTACAGCCTAAGACAGAAAATTGTCTGAAAGAAAGTTGCCTATACAGTTCCACGTCGTCTGTTAGACCCTAATATGACGGCTACATTTGGTATTTTCAAGATTTATTTTTTTGAAAATTGCCATATTCGTTTCAAATGATGGAGGGTATTCAGCTTTCTTGTTTCTTGTTCCTTATAATTTGACATTAATATATCCATGATGTCACGCTGCTTATGTACCCACACCTTTAATGTAAATAAAGAAGACGCGCTCTTCGTTGTCACTCGTTCCTTCAGTAAACAGACTGCTTTGTTGTACGAAAATTCTGTCTCTAGAACCCTGCACAACGAAATTTTTGATCTTCTAGAACTCTTCACTCAATCGACGTTTTTGTTTTGATTATTCCTTTATCACACATTCGGCCCTTGTCAACTGCTTCTACTTTGTAATTTTAACTCCTCCGTGGGTGTCGGTTCAAGCTTTCTTCTCTTCTTAAGTGAATAAATATAAATATTAGAAAATTAAATTCATAAAATCTTGTGGTAGTGCATATCAGCAGAGTACCAACGAAATAAAGCATGAAAGGATGATATTTTCCTGAATGAGTAACAATAAGAAACAAAAGGAAGCTCCTATAAGGAAAAAAGTGAACATACATATACACAACACATTTGTGGATACAACTGTTTTCTATGAAAATTGGTAAAGGTATTGGTTGCGAAAAATGTGTGGTGGTTATGATCCCCAGTTCCGGTTAAAGGAATACTTCAGTTTTACAATTATTATATGATTTAAATAGAAATAATTCGGGCTTCTCTGGGCCCTCAAAAATGTTTAATCGATGAACGTCCGCCCACGGCCCCCCGAACGAAGCAGTGCTGAACTGGATTCCTGATTTTTCTACTTTTTTGGACAACTAATATTTGTCGTTGCCTTAAATGTTTCGGAACAACTCTAGTTTAGTAAAAACTCTTAGATTTTTTCGAAATTTTTTCCAGAGGTAGGTATTTTTACCCTGATCCCGGGAAACTATTTTTTTCTTGGGGGACGGACCCGGGACCCCAGATTTTTGACCCGAAAGTCCGGGATCAAGACCCCGCCTGGACCCGGATCCACTCACCCGATATAGACAATATGGGTATCGATTGAAAGCTTATGGAAATACCTATCCAACAAGTGGTCACATGAAGGAGTAAGTTGTCATGGTTCGGAAGTTATAGTCAAATTATCGATTTTTTGGACCCGGATTTTTTATGAAACCCCCAAAAAGTCAAAAAAGGGCCCATTATGGGGGTCAACAAAATTGTTTCCAAATTATAGCTGACACTCTTACCTTTCCAAAATGCTACAATTTGTGCTAATGCCTTTTTCGGTTCCAGAGATATAGGTCTTTCCATCCGCATAACCCTATTCTAACCAGTTCATTAAAATCATGTTTTTAATGAAAAAAGTGTTTATTTCGCGTAGCAGTCG